CTAGACAATCTGGACCCTTTCTTTCTAAAACTAGCCGCCGAAATTGTCGCAACCCCTATTACTATCCTGTTCAACCTCTCTTTCATAACGTCTGAGATCCCCAGAGATTGGAAAGCTGCCGCGGTCATCCCCCTCTTCAAAGGGGGTGACACTAGATCCAAACTGTTACAGACCTATATCCATCCTGCCCTGCCTTTCGAAAGTATTTGAAAGCCAAGTTAACAAACAGATCACCGACCGTTTCGAATCCCACCGTACCTTCTCCGCTATGCAATCCGGTTTCCGAGCTGGTCATGGGTGCACTTCAGCCACGCTCAAGGTCCTAAATGATATTATAACCGCGATCGATAATAGACAGTACTGTGCAGCCATCTTCATCGACCTGGCCAAGGCTTTCGACTCTGTCAACCACCGCATTCTTATTGGCAGACTAAATAGCCTTGGTTTCTCAAATGACTGCCTCGCCTGGTTCACCAACTACTTCTCAGATAGAGTTCAATGTGTCAAATCGGAGGGCCTGTTGTCTGGACCTATGGCAGTCTCTATGGGGGTGCCACAGGGTTCAATTCTTGGGCCGACTCTTTTCTCTGTGTACATCAATGATGTCGCTCTTGCTGCTGGTGACTCTCAGATCCACCTCTACGCAGACGACACCATTTTGTATACATCTGGCCCTTCATTGGACACTGTGTTAACAAACCTCCAAACGAGCTTCAATGCCATACAACACTCCTTCAGTAGCCTCCAACTGCTCTTAAACACTTGTAAAACTAAATGCATGCTCTTCAATCGAAAGCTGCTGGCACCCGCCCACCCGACTAGAATCACTATTCTCGACGGGTCTGACCTAGAGTATGTGGACAACTACAAATACCTAGGTGTCTGGTTAGACTGTAAACTCTCCTTCCAGACTCACATTAAGAATCTCCAAAGTTAAATCTAGAATCGGCTTCCTATTTCGCAACAAAGCCTCCTTCATTCATGCTGCCAAACATGCCCTCGTAAAACTGACTATCCTACCGATCCTTGACTTCGGCGATGTCATTTACAAAATAGCCTCCAACACTCTACTCAGCAAATTGGATGTAGTCTATCACAGTGCCATCCGTTTTGTCTCCAAAGCCCCATACACTACCCACCACTGTGACCTGTACGCTCTTGTTGGCTGGTCCTCACTACATGTTCGTCGTCAAACCCACTGGCTCCAGGCCATCTATAAATCACTGCTAGGCAAATCCCCGCCTTATCTTAGCTCATTGGTCACCATAGCAGCACCCACCCGTAGTCTGCGCTCCAGCAGGTATATCTCACTGGTCATCCCCAAAGCCAACACCTCCTTTGGCTGCCATTCCTTCCAGTTCTCTGCTGCCAATGACTGGAACGAATTGCAAAAATCTCTGAAGCTGGAGACTCTTATCTCCCTCATTAACTTTAAGCATCAGTTGTCAGAGCACCTTACCGATCACTGCACCTGTACACAGCCCATCTGAAATTAGCCCACCCAACTACCTCATCCCTATATTGTTATTTATTTTGCTCTTTTGCACCCCAGTATCTCTATTTGCACATAATCTCTTGCACATCTAGCATTCCAGTGTTAATACTAATTGTAATTATTTTGCACTATAGCCTATTTATTATAACTTGCTACATTTGCACACACTGTATATATATTTTCTGTTGTATTTTTTGACTTTGTTTTTTTACCCCATATGTAACTCTGTGTTGTTGTTTTTATCGCACTGCTTTGCTTTATCTTGGCCAGGTCGCAGTTGTAAATGAGAACTTGTTCTCAACTGGCTTACCTGGTTAAATAAAGGTGAAATAAAATTAAAAATGGTGTGGGGGTGCTTTGCTGGTGACAATTGGTGACACTTGAGACGGTTTGGGATGAGTTGGACGGCAGAGTGAAGGAAAAGTGCTCATCATATGTGTGAACTTCTTCAAGACTGTTGGAAAAGCATTCCATGTGAAGCTTGTTGAGAGAATGCCATGAGTGTGCAAATCTGTCATCAAGGCAAAGTGTGGCTACGTTGAAGAATCTCAAATATAAAATAGATTTTGATTTAACACTTTTTTGGTGACTACATGATTCCATATTTGTTATTTCATAGTTGTGATGTCTTCACTATTATTCTACAATGTAGAAAATAGTAAAAATAAAGAAAAACCCTGGAATGAGTAGGTGTGTCCAAACTTTTGACTGGTACTGTATACAAAAACAATATCTAAAGTATTCCACTCACACACACTCCTGGTGTATGAATTGCCGTGGTAGGAGGCAGAATAATGCTCTGTTTGTTATCACATTTAGTATACATTTATCCTGTTTCCACAATCCAGTAACCCTTTGACTTTTTTTTTAAACTAGTACAGGCTGGTTGCTGTAGCTATTTTGTTGAACTTGGAAGATAAGTCAGCTAACTGTATGCAAAGTAGTACAGCAGGTTATCTTCTTAAGTTGACCATTGAAACAAGCCAATAGCTTACATTGAGATGTAGCCTCTGTTTCAAATGTAATTGTTATGGAAACTGCACTAGGCCTGGGCTACTCTGTTCTACTTCTCTCATTAACTGACATTGTAGGTCATAGACTCATAGTTAAGATGTACAGGTTTCTGTTTGCATTCAACAGTGGGTGTGCCATGTGTCATTCATTGCATTATAAATAGCCTATGTGTTTGAGTTGGCGATGTGTCATCATGCCATGTGGATTGTTATCAGCCTATTACATAAGTTCTCATCACAGTGTTCAACTTCAAAGTGTAAAATATTGTCTTTGAGACTGGTCCGATCCCTGGCTCGAGATGCATCCAGGATAATGAGATTCTCGGTCAAGCTCATAAACTGATTAGGCCTATTCATGATAGCCTATTGGCCAGTGGTTCACCATTTTGTTGTAGCCCTGAACTAGCTTACCTGATTCACCTTGTCAAGGGCTTGATGATTTGTTGACAAGTTGAATCAGGTGTGCTAGCAGTGCAATAGTTAAAATGCATGGAACGGCTGGGGGTCCCAGAGGAGAGGTTTGAAAACCCCTGGCCTAGGCAACAGGGTAGTTGTGTTGTGTCAAATAAAAAGTGGTAGGATTACTGGTCCTTTGTAAAAAATAAATATAAAAAAACAGTGCAACTTCAGTGCTTTAGAGTGGAATGCACAATCAAGTGATTGGATCAAATTGGATCATTAATAGTGTTGAGGATCTCGTCCTTGTTCAGCTTTCAGGGTTTAGCCGACAGGGTGTTCCCTTACTTTGGAGTGTGCTATTTTTTGTCAACAAAATAACCATCCCAAAATTCTGATGCGGAGCATCCGAGATTAGTTTGAGCATGAGGAAGAATAGGGAGCGTGTTTGTGTGTTTGTGTCTCTGACTGCATACATGTGTGTTCTCTGCCTGCCCTGCAGTGAGTCAGCCTGCAGCCTACGGGCTAGGGGGACAGCCCCTTGAAGGCAGTCTTCCATACCAGTGCACACAGGAGCCCATGTAGGCCTAACCACTAACCACCGTGTGGCTTTACCAGTCAATATTTCCAAGAACGGACCTTCCAGACAGGCCAAAGTACTCCTCCAACTCTGGCTCAACTTGTCGCCCATCATCAATCCCATCACTCATACTTGCTGTGGTCTTGATGTGTACCGTACCAAAAGAACAGCAGTAATGTAGTCTTGTGTGGATGCACAACACATGGATTGAGTGTTCAACAATGTCCTATGTTAATGCATTGCATGATACTGTTCTGTAAGAATTCAGTAGCATTTGAGGCTTTTGCCTCTGTGGACTGGATGCTTAATTCAGAATAATAAGTCTCTTTCCTGTTAGCCTCTTTACCCTGAGAAACCAGTAAGAATTGGCCAAGCCTAGTGCCAGCCTAATTGTTTTGTTTGATCTACTGTGAGAGAGAGAACATGATACTTCCTAAGCTAAGCTCATACTTGTAACATCGGCCATCTGCTCTGTGAATTTACTGAATGGGTTTCTATAATTAATATGTATGTACACACGTATCTCTTTGCTCCTCTTTGTCCCAGTAGGTAACCTATGTTTAAGCTGTTTGTCTTCACTGTTTATGGTGACTTCTCTTTAGAAACCATTCTTTGTTGATGTGTTCAAATTGTATTCAAGTAGGCTAACTCTCTCCTTTTGAGCTTTGCATCACTCCTTCTAGACGTGTTGTACTGTATGTTTTTTACATTGTTAGTAGGAATGGGAATTGCCAGGGACCTCACCATACGATATTATCACGCTACATAGGTGCCAATACAATATGTATTGCGATTCTAACAATTCTATATGTATTGCGATTCGATACTGTGATTTTATTCCGATTCGATGTTCCAAACATATTGCTCACCATATGTCTGCTGCAGAGAGACGAGAGAGCATGAGAAAATGAGTTTTGATCAGTCATGGAAATAAAAGTGCTGAAAACCAATTGGCTCCCTATTTAAAAAGAAGATGGAGAGCAAGCTATGAAGGAAAAATACTGGATTTTAGGTGCCGGTACAGCCAACTAGAGCAAAAATAATATTGTGATTTTGTCAAAATGATAAGATACGATATGTCGTCAAAAATAATATCCCGATATGTAACTGTATCGATTTTCTTGCCCTCATCACAAATTATTAGGCTACATGTCATTCTATTGTAATAAGACCTAGGTTATGTTATCCAGAGAAAATGAGCAACAAAAAATGCTATGTATAGAAAGACAATAGTCTGACATGCTCCTTCATTCAGAGAGGGCTATCTAAAGGGATCTATTTTACATTTGCTTCCTTCCTGTCTCTCTCTCAGACTGGGCTTCATCTACTAATTAAAGAGGCGGTTGCTAAGAGATAACAAGCAGTGACATCGCTGCTGAGAGCCTCTGATGTGCTGCAGCCTGAACCTGCATCTCTACTCTGGGTCTCTTCTCTCAATCCCCGTCTAGACCTAAGTGCACCTGACCCATGTGAAGGAGTAGGGGGAGAGAGAGAGAGCGGAGCCACACCACACACCATGGCAGCTTTCACCAGTACCCCCAAAGTGAGTTCCAGGAGCGCTCCTCGGCACGGGGTCAGGGAGGAGAGCCCAGCGGAGTGTGACTGGAAGGACTGTGAGACTGGAGGCAGCGAGAGGTATAGAGGACACCTCACCATGCTGGAGAAGACCCATGACTTCTTCCAGATCTGTGACATTGAGGACAAGGGCTTCATCACCCGCCGGGACATGCAGGTAAGATCACCTATATGGGATCACTGAGTCTGACAGAATCTTCTCATGGGAAGTTATTGAAATGTTTAGGCTACACCAGATGTGCATTATGTATGTTCCAATCCCTACTGTGTGTTTACCTAGTCATGTGTAGATGTTACTTTTATGTCATTATGTCAAGAGTACCAAATATTTAAAACCTCTGACTTTTAATATAGATTTTTACAGTGCAATAAGTAATGGTCGTTGTGTTTTGAACTGCTGAATGTTGTTTTGCCGCTCTGAAGGATCTAAATAATTCTGAGTTGTGGTCGGTTGGTTGGAGTTGTGATGGATTTCTCTAGATGTATCCTAGCCTACACACCTGGTCCCGTATCTCATTATTGTTATCATTCAGGCTTTTGTAAGGGCATCTGAATGACTGCTCGTAACAATAGCATACATTAAACAATGAGGAAATGATTAACAACTGCAACAAATCTTCCATAGACGTTTATGTTAGATTTGGAGACAAACATCTGGTCATTTCATAAGGCTGCACGTGGAGGACAGAGACTGTGTGTGCTCCTTAGAATTAGCTAGAACACTTCTATATCTCTGTGGTGTGCTCATTAGAGATGTTTCTGAGGACATAGCCTCTATCTTTCTAATTCAGGAGAGCATGTGAAAAGAGTGCCAGGAACCCACAACACCTACGGGCATCGAAGAGCCACGCAGACCCACGCTTTGTCATACATCTCCTTCAGCTGCATTATTGTGCAGATCCAGAAGCCTCTCACATTCATCCATGGCAGAGTATTATTTTGATGGAGCACTTGTGAGCCCACGCCGTGACGAGGGTCTCTCAGTAGAATGGATGGATCCCTTTGATCCATTGCTTACGGAAATATATTGAAAATGACCTTATACCCACTCCCCATGTTCATTAGGAGTTGTGGAAGAATTGAAATGTTGTAGTAATGGCAATCCATAACACAATGTATACAGGAGTGTACAGTACATTGCATCTCCCACACTGTTGTCTGTGTAAATTAGTCTAATTAACCTACAAGTAGGCAATCAGTATGAGTGTTAGGCAACTGCAATGCATTTTTGCTGGTCTATACCTATACAACCTGAGCAGGTGGGACAGGAAATTAATTTATTTGCCGTAAGCAAGATGGTTTTTGATTTAGTCAGCTATTACTATGCCTGATAAGACCTTCTTTATCCATAAGGGATCTGAGGGATCTCCATGAGAATCTGGTTAAGTGGCACAAGTTCTGAACCCTTTTTTTATTTACTTTCATAACGTATTCTAGCAACTGCCAGCATTGCCATAGATGTGCACATGTATCATTTTCTGCTGATGCACATACTGTACAGCCTTACAATGTTTTTCACACCATGACCTAAAGCGTGGCAGTGGTGTGTCTCCGGCTGTGAACTCTGTTGTTTTCTGACATAAGGGATGTGTTCAGTCCAGATAAGAGTGTGCAAGGAGTGGACAGCTGACTAGGTCTCATAGAGTTCCTACTATGAATTTCACAAGTGGTTTCAGTGTAAACATTGACATGCACAGCTCACAGAGGCTTTTCAGGATCATTGTGGTCTTTAATATTTATTTTCAGGGTTTCCGTAGGTTTTAAGTCTCTTGTTTGCTTGTCTATATTCCAAACCGTTTTTCCACTCTGCTTGGCCTTGGCGTGGAAACGGTGGTTTGGTTTGTATTAACACAGATTAAGATCAACGTTTATGTTGTTTACCTTTTTTTGCTGGTTTTGTTTACTGGGCAGAAATGTTCATTTCTAAAATGTTTGGGTTCAATCCAAATAAAGATGTCGCAGGTTCATTAATATAAACATTTTATAAAACAAATAGCGTAGTTACTCACAATTCCTTCATCATGAACACGTTTACATCCATTAGATCAGTTGTGTGACCGCAAATAATACACTATCCTACTCCTTATGAACATGAAGTCCTTACAAAGACTCGTCCTGTACTTGGGTACACATCTCTTCTGATGCTAATCATAGTGTTGAGTGTTTTCCCAGCGGTTTGTGCCTGCCTGGCAGCTGTTGTACCATGTACTGTATTGTTAATGAAAATACTCCAGAGTTCTTCAGTTCCCCAGTCGTGTCAATGGCACCTGACTGTGTTGTTGTGTGTCCTGCTCCACAGAGGCTCCATGGAGAGCTGCCCCTCAGTGCAGAGGAGCTGGAGAACGTCTTCGACACACTGGACTCTGACGGCAATGGATACCTCACCCTGGAGGAATTCTCCTCTGGCTTCAGTACGTTGACTATGTTCCCTTCTCACTTTCTACTATCCAATGTATGTATATGTGCTGTGATTTTTCAGTTTTGATATCAATCTTACTATCTTCCATTTCCACATAATTACATCAACAGTGCTAGTGCACTGTGCAAGCAGAGTATGGTAGCTCAGCGTACGTAGAGCGGAAGAGTGGAGTGAGAGTAAAGGATATTATAAATCATCTCCTGGACTCTTGTTTCTCCAGGTGAGTTCCTGTTTGGCCGGAGGATCTCTATAACAGAGGGGATGGAGGAGGCCAGCCCCATTGCCAAGGAACCCACCCAGGGCCCCACGCAGGGCCCTCCAGACTCCCTGTACCAGACCCAGTGGGAGGAGAGGCTGGCGAGCAGCGACGAGGAGGAGGAGAAGCACTTCTGCATGCTAATGGAGAGCTTGGGAGCCAGCAACGTCTTTGAGGAGTGAGTGTTTGTTTTTGTCTGTGACGTCCATATTATGCGATCCTTTGTCCATCCCTCAACAATGCCCTCAAATGACCTAAGTCTATTCCTTTAGATTGGTCAGCTGTGCAAAACAAAAAACACTAAGTTGCCACTCCTTAGTAGTTCTAGCCACTCTGTGTTTCAATCTACTTGTTTTGATATTTCTCTGGAAATTCTGAGCTTAACAACCAAGCATAAAGTGCAAGACATGTATGAGTAGAAAATAGGTTAAATCCTGGAGTCACTGTCTTCTTCATCAAAAACATCAGACATGGGAAGAGTTCATCAAAATTAATTTGGGTTGCTTAACCTTCGACAAATCATTATAGTCGACGACATTCCTGTCTGTGGAAGTATTCCAGACATTGGTGACTGGGTGCTGGTACCATTTTGCTTTTGGCTTTTTGAACTCCAGGCATTCGGAGGAGGGAAAAAATAGAGCCAGGCCTCGTATAACGCATGATTAGACTCACCTTGAGCAAACAAGTACGGCTCAATAAAGTTAAACAGTAGTAGTGGAGGATGTACATTTGATAAGAACATCCTATTGACTGTCTGCAAACCTGGGTTAGAACCAGAAAGGAATGCTGACAATTTAGATCAGATCGGTTTGTGCACTAACTTCTGGTGTGTCTTCCTGAAGTTGACATGGCGTAGGGGTCTACTGTAAGGAGACTTCCAGAGGCCTGCTAGTCAAGTCAACAAGTCCACATTTCAATGAACAGATCTATCAAACATATGCATTGCATGGCAGAATAACTTTCCACATATTGCCCTGCCTTTTTAGAATACAATGTTCGATAGCAGTGGTTATCTGAACACTGACATGAATACCTGGGCACAGACAAAGATGGGGTTTAAACTGTCAAAATAGCTGTTTTCTGCTAACAGGAAATGGGATTTTCAAGGCCAAGACCATCTTGACCAAATGTCAGTTTTGCACAAATATGTAAGTATGGTTGCAGGCAGCCCACAGCCACCCACCGCCTGCCTGCCTACATTGTCCTAATTGTTCACATTGACCTTGTCTTAAAATAACATATATTTATGCCTCTATGTCCCCGTCTCCATACAATTCTACTTCAAGCATAATTCAATTTATTTCCTCCAAGAAGAACCTCAGTACAGTTGTTCTTCTACAGAAATCTAACTACAGTATACAGACTGTATTCCAGGTCTTGTCATTCAGGCTAATCTTTGTTCTGACCCGCTTCCCATCAGCCCTGGTGAGGTGCGTAGTCTGTGGGCCCAGCTGACGAGGGACGAGCCGCACCTCCTGTCCAACTTTGAGGAGTTCCTGGCCAGGGTCATTTTACAGATCAAAGGGGTCAACCAGGAGAGGATGGAGATGGAGAGTGCCCTTAAAAAGTTAGTAGCCTACCACTTCATTCAAATCAAATCAAATTGTATTTGCCACATGTGCCGAATACAACAAATGTAGACATTACCGTGAAATGCTTACTTACAGCCCTTAACCAACAATGCATTTATTTTTTAATAAAAAAGTACAATAAAACAACAACAAAAAAGTGTTGAGGAAAAAAAGAGCAGAAGTAAATTAAAATAACAGTAGGGAGGCTATATACAGGGGGGTACCGGTGCAGAGTCAATGTGCGGGGGCACCGGCTAGTTGAGGTAATATGTACATGTGGGTAGAGTTAAAGTGACTATGCATAAATAATTAACAGAGTAGCAGCAGCGTAAAAAGATGGGGTGGTGGTGCAAATAGTCCAGGTAGCCATGATTAGCTGTTCAGGAGTCTTATGGCTTGGGGGTAGAAGCTGTTGAGAAGCCATTTGGACCTAGACTTGGCGCTCCGGTACCGCTTGCTGTGCGGTAGCAGAGAGAACAGTCTATGACTAGGGTGGCTGGAGTCTTTGACAATTTTGAGGGCCTTCCTTTGACACTGTCTGGTATAGAGGTCCTGGATGGCAGGAAGCTTGGCCCCAGTGATGTACTGGGCCATATGCACTACCCTCTGTAGTGCCTTGCGGTCGGAGGCCGAGCAGTTGCGATACCAGGCGGTGATGAAACCAGTCAGGATGCTCTCGATGGTACAGCTGTATAACTTTTTGAGGATCTGAGGACCCATGCCAAATCTTTTCAGTCTCCTGAGGGGGAATAGGCTTTGTCGTGCCCTCTTCACGACTGTCTTGGTGTGTTTGGACCATGATAGTTTGTTGGTGATGTGGACACCAAGGAACTTGAAGCTCTTAACCTGTTCCACTACAGCCCCGTCGATGAGAATGGGGGCGTGCGCAGTCCTCTTTTTTTCCCTGTAGTCCACAATCATCTCCTTTGTCTTGGTCACGTTGAGTGAGAGGTTGTTATCCTGGCACCACACGGCCAGGTCTCTGACCTCCTCCCTATAGGCTGTCTCATCGTTGTCGGTGATCAGGCCTACCACTGTTGTGTCGTTGGCAAACTTAATGATGGTGTTGGAGTCGTGCCTGGCCATGCAGCCATGGGTGAACAGGGAGTACAGGAGGGGACTGAGCACGCACCCCTGAGGGGCCCCCGTGTTGAGGATCAGCGTGGCAGATGTGTTGTTACCTACCCTTACCACCTGGGGGCGGCCCATCAGGAAGTCCAGGATCCAGTTGCAGAGGGAGGTGTTTAGTTCCAGGATCCTTAGCTTAGTGATGAGCTTTGAGGGCACTATGGTGTTGAACTCTGACCTGTAGTCAATGAATAGCATTCTCATGTAGGTGTTCCTCTTGTCCAGGTAGGAAAGGGCAGTGTGGAGTGCAATAGAGATTGCATCATCTGTGGATCTGTTGGGGCGGTATGCAAATTGGAGTGGGTCTAGGGTTTCTGGGATAATGGTGTTGATGTGAGCCATGACCAGCCTTTCAAAGCACTTCATGGCTACAGACGTGAGTGCTACGGGTCGGTTGTCATTTAGGCAGGTTATCTTAGTGTCCTTGGGCACGGGGACTATGGTGGTCTGCTTGAAACATGTTGGTATTACAGACTCAGTCAGGAACATGTTGAAAATGTTGGTGAAGACACTTGCCAGTTGGTCAGCACATGCTCAGAGTACACGTCCTGGTAATCCGTATGGCCCTGCAGCCTTGTGAATGTTGACCTGCTTAAAAGTCTTACTCACATCGGCTACGGAGAGCGTGATCACATAGTCATCCGGAACAGCTGGTGCTGTTGTATACATCTCTGTGTGTGGAGTAAAGGTGGTCTAGAGTTTTTCTTTCCTCTGGTTGCACATTTAACATGCTGGTAGAATGGATTTAAGTTTCCCTGCATTAAAGTCCCCGGCCACTAGGAGCGCTGCCTCTGGTTGAGCGTTTTCCTGTTTAGTTATGGCCTTATACAGCTCATTGAGTGCAATCTTAAAGCCAGCATTGGTTTTTGGTGGTAAATAGACAGCTATGAAAAATATAGATGAAAACTCTCTTGGTAAATAGTGTGGTCTACAGCTTATCATAAGGTACTCTACCTCAGGCGAGCAAAACCTCGAGACTTCCTTAGTATTTGATTTTGTGCACCAGCTGTTGTTTACAAATATACACAGACCGCCACCCCTTGTCTTACCGGAGTCAGCCGTTCTTTCCTGCCGATGTAGCGTATAGCCCGCTAGCTGTATGTTGTCCATGTCGTCGTTCAGCCATGACTCGGTGAAACATAAGATATTACCGTTTTTAATGTCCCGTTGGTAGAATAAGCGTAATCGTAGGTCATCTCATTTATTTTCCAATGATTGAAGATTGGCTAATAGGATTGATGGGAACGGCAGTTTACTAGCTCGCCATCGGATCCTTACGAAGCACCCCGACCTACGTCCACGATATCTCCGTCTCTTTCTCCTGCGAATGACGGGGATTTGGGCCTTGTCGGGTGTCTGTAGGATATCCTTTGCGGCCGCCTCGTTGAAGAAAAAATCTTCGTCCAATACGAGGTGAGTAATCGCTGTCCTGATATCCAGAAGCTCTTTTTGGTTACAAGAGACAATGGCAGAAACATTATGTATAGAATAAATTACAAAAACGCGAAAAAACACACATAATAGTACAATTGGTTAGAGGGCTGTAAAACGGCAGCCATCTTCTCCGGCGCCATCAGGTCAGATATTGTAGGATTTAGTCAATTAGCAGCCCACTGTAGCCTGTTCCCAGATCTACTTGGGCTGTCTTGCCAACTCCTATGGTCATTGGCAAGACAGCACCAACAGATCTGGGACCAGGCTAGCTCAAAATGTTCCTTTACAGATAACCTCATTGCCTGAGTAATGAAGGACAAAGTAGCCAAGAGACGCATTTACTTAACCTTCCAGTTCCAAAGCTGTATTAAGTGTTTGTGAATGTTCTCCCAAAACGCCCACTTTCTTTAAATCATGTCGGGCAATATTCATGGCAATTTTACACAAGGAATACTACACGACAATCTCTACCTACAGTACTTGTTTATTATGTCACATTTCAACTGAGCACAGCTTTTGTACCACAGTGGTGCATTATCACACAGTTTCTGTGGGCTGTTTCTGAGAGAAAGGAATGCAAATGTTGCATAAGGCTGCTATGTGGCTCACACTTTGCAGCTGTTACAAAACGTATTGTCAATGTCTTTCTTGCTGTATTCAGAGATGTAGACACACAGGGGTGTTTGATTAAAGTTGACCAGAGTAGTCAGGCCTTGAATGGTTCAGTAATTATAGTTATCCCTTTTATCTTCAGATGTGAACTACAGTACATGTAATGCTAGACTGATAATAAGTGTTCTTTTTTCATGGTACTCCTCTGAAAATCTATTTGCTGCTGTGCCTGTTTGGAATGCATCACAATAGGTTACAAATACCTACTGTATGATTGAATGCCAGACTGAAAGCTCGTGTAAGGTCTCAAGTACAGCATTTATGTGCTGCCTCTTCATGTGATTCTATGCCTATGCATGTGATTCTATGCCTATGCATGTGATTCTATACTTATGGATGTGATTCTATGCCTATGCATGTGTATTAGCATTAACAAGATTAAAATATTTCTAAATCCGAACAGAAAATCAGCAACACATGACGATGAGATCCATCGCTTATATGAAGAAATGGAGCAGCAAATCAAAAATGAGAAGGACAGGATCCTACTGCAGGTAAAGAGATCTCCCACTGAATACACAAGACTTGTTAGTAACTTTTCTGACAGATCTCTCTCTTATCTCTCTCGCACACTCTCTCTCTCTCACACACACACTCTTTCTCTCAATCTCTCACACTCTCACTCTCCACTGCAGGACACTGAGCGCTTCCTGTCTAGGAGTCAGGATCTGGAGCATCAGCTGTCCAGTAAGGAGAGAGAGCTGGATCAGATCTTCCAGAAACAGAGGAGGGTGAGTAGGGACACCAATGATGAGACATTGATCATCACAGGCATCACAATAAAGGATAGATTTGTACTGTACAGAATGTATTATTTTTTTTTTATTAAATCACATTTTCCTGAAAGTGTTTTGAACAATGTGAAATATAAACTCTGATTGATCTGGAATGAATTGTGACCAGCCTTATTAGTAGACTTGAAGATCTAAGAGCTGTCCCTGAGTGTCTGCAGCTTACTCTCTAATGGAAATTCAATGATAATAATACGCAACCATAACACTATCAAAAACAGAACTCCACTGAAGTTAAGACTAATTAATCAAATGGAAATGAGTCTTACCAGTGCGTCAGAATTTGCTTTACAAATGGGAACAAGGCCTTAATTCGTACTGTGCCCAAGTCACCAAGGCCTTCTCTCAGATCTCCCTGGCACCATCCACATTCCTCTCTGCCAACCAGAAATAAAATGTCAGAACATTGACTTGATTGAGAATGTCCGTTGTAGATATTCTATTTCTATACTGCCAACACAGTCTCTGTAGAGCAGGCATCCAGGCGCTATGCTGGCTAGCCTAATCACAGTGTCGCTAGATAAAACGTCTCTTATGTTGTTGTGTTGGATCCATTGTAGCACTTGGGCTTATATATTTAGAACAGTGATAGTAGTGTTTGAGGCTGCATTCAGACAATAGCCGTATCTGTGTGTCCTCACACAATCCCTGGCTTCAATAGATGTGTGTGTCAGACCAGACCAGACCAGTATGTGTTTAGAAGATATCACTTGTTTCATCCTTTGATTCATCAATGCTTGGTGTATCATAGCAATCGCACATAGATCATACTGTACCAATCATAGACTCCAGACCATGATTGTTACTGCAGAGTAGCATCTGGGAAATGGTGACCCCAGATCAACTGGCCTTGCCATTCTTCAACCCAGATATGATCAAATGAAGTGAAAGTGCAGGTTATTGTAGTGCGTCTGCTTTAGGCTGTAGTGTTGTTTTGTGTGTTGTCCCCTCTGCCTGTCTCCTCTGTGTGACCGTGTCCCCTCCCCCTGTGTCCCCTACCCAGTTGGAGCGTCAGTGCCGGGAGCTGCACAGCGAGCAGCATGTGACCAAGGTGGAGAACGTGAAGCTGAAGCAGACCAATGAAGAGCTGGCCCAGGAGCTGGAATACACCAGTCAGGAGCTGAGCCTGGCACAGGAGCAGCTGGTCCTCCTGCAGGAGCAGTCCTCACACCTAAACCAGGAGAGGGAGATGTAAGTCTGTCTGGCTGGCTGTCTGTGTCTGGGATCCTGTTTGGGTGTTTGTTTCTCCATGTGAGTCCACATCTTAGACCAGTGGTTCCCAACTCCGGTCCTCGAGTACCCCCAACAGCCCTGGACAAGCATACCTCATTCAACTCATTGAGGGCCTGATAATTAGTTGACAAGCTGAATCAGGTGTGCTTGTCCAGGGCTACAATACAAATGTGTACTGTTGGGTGTACTCGAGGACCGGAGTTGGGAACATCTGTCATAGACGCTACTTGCATTCAGTAGCGTCTATGAATCACCTGATTATGAAGGCATAAATGTATGAAAGCCGCTATACCTAATTTACATTGATGTAGTTCTGTCCTTGTGATGTACTTGTCTGTTAATGTTCTGAATCATGTCATGTTTTATGTTCTGTGTGGAACCCAGGAAGAGTAGCTTCTGCTTTAGCACTAGCTAATGGGGATCCTAATGAAATATTAAAACTATCACATGAATATGTGGATTTGTTGTCCAACATAGGGAGATGTACTGGATCACAGAGGGATTGCAGAGGGAGCGAGCGAGCCTGCTGAAACAACTTGACCTCCTGAGGTAAGAGTGGAGATGTAACAGATACACACACACACACACACACACTAGGAGCGAGGCAGTGGGTTACTGTATCAGCTCAGAGCCACTGCTCTCCAAATCAAGGAGCAATGAGGATACTGTACAATACTGAAGGTTATGTTATATTCACTACAAACCATGGCCACACATCCATCCAGCAGATAGCATTGACTTCAGGCAAACTCCTCAAAGCTGTTTTATACTAAAGCAATAAATAATATAATAATAATAATATGCCATTTAGCAGACGCTTTTATCCAAAGCGACTTACAGTCATGCGTGCATACATTTTTTTTGTGTATGGGTGGTCCCGGGGATCGAACCCACTACCTTGGCGTTACAAGCGCCGTGCTCTACCAGCTGAGCTACAGAGGATCACAATAAGGCATGAGGGGTGTGGTATATGGCCAATATAGCAAAGCTAAGGGTTGTTCTTACACACGACGCAACACTGAGTGCCTGGATACAGCCCTTAGCCGTGGTATATTAACCATACACCACAAACCCCTGAGGTGCCTATTGCTATTATAAACTGGTTACAAATCTAATTAGAACAGTAAAAATAAATGTTTTGTCATACCCGTGGTATACGGTCTCATATACCACAGCTTTCAGCCAATCAGCATTCAGTGCTCAAACCACCCAGTTTATAATAGTGCTTAGAAAGTATGTATTTCTGTTGCAATGAACCCATTCCTTGTTATATTGTCTCCAGGGAAATGAACAAGCACTTACGAGATGAGCGAGACATGTGCTCTTATCAAGTAAGTATACACATGCGCAATGTATTTATTCATCATTCTCCATTTGTGAAATCCCCTTCTATCTGTCTGTCTATCAAGTTTGATAGATACTAACCTAAAAACATGATTCCTTGAAAAGCATGGAACCTAGAAAACATTTTAAATCAAATCCAATTGCAATCAATTTGCAGATGAATTAGTTTTTGTTTTGTTGTTTTGCAGAAACCGAGGAATACTGTTAAAAATCCTGCTTGCAACCCGAGACCTGGATCAAATACTCTCAATCCCTTTGACAGAAAGGCCTTTAGGTATACTATTTGCTTAGAAATGCTTTTAATACAAATTGAATTAAAACTGCCTGGTGCAGTCATGGAGGCCTTAATTGATATAAACGTTCATTTCACCTACAATACACTCTTGTTCAGTATCAATATGACTGTAGTTGGAATAGTTATTAATAGTGAATGATTCATATTTTCTAAGTAGTTGGCAATGCAAAAAGTTGAACAAAGTACATGAAACAGAATTCACATGTTGGACAGAAAGCTGTTCAATAGGGCTGCAGTTGTAGCTCTGTGCAGAACGTGTCTGTACAGTATTTACATTGTTCTGAATATACACTACCAGTCAAAAGTTTGGACACACCTACTCATTCAAGGGTTTTTCTTTATTTTTTACATTGTAGAATAAAAGTGAAGACATCAAAACTATGAAATAACATATATGGAATCATGTAGTAAACAAAAAAGGGTTAAACAAATCAAAATATATTTTACATTTGAGAATCTTTAAATAGCCACCCTTTGCCTTGATGACAGCTTCGCACACTCTTGCAAATATATTTTAATTTGTTTAACACTTTTTTGGTTACTACATGATTCCATGTGTTATTTCATAGTTTTGATGTCTACACTATTATTCTACAATGTATAAAATAGTAAAAATAAAGAAAAACCCTTGAATGAGTAGGTGAGTCCAAACTTTTGACTGGTACTGTATGCAAATGCCTGTAAGTCAATTCACATTCTACATCCATACTGTTGTACTCCAAAAAAAGCATTTGTGAACCAAATTCCATGTGTCCCTTCAATTTCCATCTCATCCCTTTCTCTCCAGTGAGGATGAGGAGGTAGTACTCCCCCACTCTAAGAGGAAGAGTACGGAGGGAGTGAATGACTCCAAACCCCCCCACAGACCCCTCCAGAGGATCATCTCCATAGAGGAGGACCACCTACCCCAGCTCCTACAGGACGACTACCAGGCTCAGCTCTGGGAGTGGCGTGAGGAGGCCGAGGACGACAAGCACATAGAGCTACAGATGAACTCTATAAATCCTCCCAGTTCTCCTCCATCGAGGGAGCAGCAGCCAGTTGACACCAGAGAGACAGAGACGCCTACATCTCCCAGGGGCCAGCCAGCCGGAAAGGAGACAATGGTGAATGTAAGCATGTCGGACCAGGGCTCAGATAGAGACGCAACATCAGAGTTGGTATGAAATTATGTGGAGAGACATTGTGGTCCGTCTCTACTGAATAGAATAGGAGAAGGATTCAGTTGGCTTGGCATAATTACTTCCCATTTGAAATTAATGAGATTGTACAGCATTTTCACATTATGTCCCCTCCTCTTCCCTTCAGGGTCGTTTCTCGGTCAGCGTGTTTTTGTTTGTTCTCTTGACCCCGTAAAGAGAGGGGTGGGGGAGGAGTGTAGGTGGATGTACAGTACAGTGTGTTCACAAAGCCCTGTTTTTCCACCGGACCAGACCTGAGATAAGAAAAAAAGAGTCACAGGTGTTGGGTTTCTCACTTTGAGTGAGTTGACCCCGCAGTTAACCTCACAAACAGGATTAGCTACTTGTATTAGTGTTTGTTGAAAGAGTGTTTCCATGATTTACTGTCGATTTTAGAAAATGACTATGTATTTCAAGAACTTTGTGCAACTTGATGGTTTTACTATAATAGTTATTTTGTGAAGTTTCTTGAAATTAGGGGGCTAATTATGCTGTGTTCATAATATGTTCAAATATTTGTTGCCATGTCATTGTTTGTAGTGTACCCTCTCCCAGTATATATCGAATCTGAAATATCCTGGTAATTACTTGAGGAAATGTAGACTTGAGCACATAAAGTGAGTTTGGAAGAGTTGGATGAAGCATATAATATGAACTCTTACTTAACACACATATCCCTCTTTCTCTCTGTGTTGTGTTTCCAGGAGGAGGGTGCAGCGTCAGCCCCAGACCGCCTGTTTAAGATCATCCTGGTGGGGAATTCCAGTGTGGGGAAGACCTCCCTCCTCAGGAGGTTCTGTGATGACTGCTTTTACCCAGGCACCTCTGCCACCGTCGGTGAGTAGTGAGTGGCCTCTCCAGGCTTCCTTTTCTACAGCAGAGCAGGGTTGTGTTCATTAGGCACCAACGGAACAAAACCGACTGAAACAGGAACTACCTGGAATTGTTCTATAAGAATCTCTCTGGGTTTTTTTTTACATTGAAAAATGTTTTGCTACGGCGTGCCCTAATGAACACGACCCAGAGCCGAGCCCCAGTCCTGTGGCTGGTTGACCTCACCATCCCTCATACTGGCTTTACTCACTAAGCACTTTAAGATGCTGATTGTTTAACACTGTGGAAAGCTGATTATGTTGTGTTGATCTTGCACTTATAGGCAACAGCCTAATAAGCAGAGAAACCATATTGTGTTGCTGTATATTGACTGACTTGACTCACACAGACCATGACTTGGATACTTCCGATTGGCCTTTCTGTTGTACAGTAGGTTAATATTGCACTCCCAAAACGAGTTTGTTCTGTGTGTGACTGAGTGCATACTCAATTACATCAAGACCCAACTGACTCACCTTACCATTTTATATTGGTTTAATTTAACACTGCTGTGCAGTGTATACGTCATCGTAAGTCAGTGCACCATGCTGTATACATTAATCAAGGGCACTGTAAGTGTATTGGGGACCTTGTAGTTTTAAACCAGTGAAGCTGGGCAGACCAAACAACATCACGAGACAGCTTGTGAAGTCACAGTGTTCCTCTCCTGTCATTCTGCAGCCTGGTACAAACAGCTCCACATCTCTAATATCCTCTCTATTTAGGCCCTGTTTGGAAGTACACAAAACATTTTTGATTCTCAAAATAGTCATATGATTCAGAGATGTTTTTGGGGGGAGCAAATCAGATGGATTTTGAATTGTGTGTTCCCTTTAGAACAATATGCAATATACGATCAACTCTTGTTGACGCAATTGTGACACAAGCATTGACAAAAAGCATGATGTTCCTCCGTTTCTATTTGAGCACTTGGGTCAAATGTAGTCAATTGGAATCATCAATGGATAAGTAACATTTCAGAAACTCAGAGAAGGACATTGCCATATAAAGTTCCCAAATGTATCCTTTGAAGTTCCTTGTTTTATCCAGATTTAGCCCGGAAATCAATTGTTGGTTCCTTTCATCATTTTTGTATCTTATTACGTGCCCATCACTTCTGGAAATTGGTTTGCTTTTGACAATGAATATAGATAGAAAATTACAGGATAAAAATATTATTGTAAGGCAAAAGATAGTAAATGACTATAAGTGACAATATGTGACTTAAATCAGATGAATGATATCTTCTCTGTCCTGCATCATCAACAGGCATTGACTACAGTGTGAAGACGATACTGGTGGACAACAGCCAGGTGGCGCTGCAGATGTGGGATACAGCAGGACAGGAGAGGTGGGAACTCTACTAACCTTTTTGCCTCAGCAGCTTTTGTTTTGCTTCATGCAGTTAGGCTGTATGGCAGTGAAGTGACATAACTACTATGGTTACATTTCAGTATTTTTACATATTTTAATGAGACCATGTTGCACATGATGCTAGAAAATAGTATATTATGAGACAAAAGTATTAAAAGATCAAATGGGGGAATTCTCAGTCTTAAGATTACTCCCTTCACCACCATTTCATGAGAGGACTATCAGAATGGCGCTGCAATGGATAGCAGCCGTTTTACAGGCTCCTGAACAATGTTTCTGCCATCGTTTCCTATGACCGAAAAGGTATTCTGGACACCAGAACAGCGATTAATAACCTCAATTTGGATGAAGATTTCTACTTCAACAAGTCAGAGGCGCAGGACGTACTGCTTACCCCGGACCAGACCCTAATCCTAGAGAAAAGAGAGGCTGACATGCGGGCACCCTGACGAAACTACGTCGGCGAGTACATAAACTGCCTCTACCCTCCGTTCTATTGGCGAACGTACAATCAATAGAGATCAAACTGGACGAGCTTTGTTCAAGACTATCCTATCAACGGGACCTGAAGAACAGTAATATCCTATGTTTCTCAGAGTTGTGGCTGAACAAGGACATGGATAATTGAGTGTACAAAACATTAGGAACACCACCTTTGCCCTCAGAACAGCCTCAATTCGTTGGGGCATGGACTCGACAAGGTGTCAAAAGCGTTCCACAGGGATGCTGGCCCTTGTTGGCTCCAATGCTTCCCACAGTTGGCTGGATGTCCTTTGGGTGGGGGACCATTCTTGATACACACGGGAAACTGTTGAGCGTGAAAAACCCAGCGGCGTTGCAGTTCTTGACACACTCAAACCGGTGTGCCTGGCACCTACTACCATACCCAGTTCAAAGGCACTTAAATATTTTGTCTTGCCATTCACCCTCTGAATGGCACACATACACAATCCATATTTCAAAGCTTAACAATCCTTATTTAACCTGTCTCCTCCCCTTCATCTACACTGATTTGAAGTGGATTTAAAAGGTGACATCAGTAAGGGATCGTAGCTTTCACCTGGTCAGTATATGTCACGGAAAGAGTTCCTAATGTTTTGTACACTCAGTGTACATCTAGCTGGTTTTTCCATGCATCGGCAGGACAGAACGCCAGGGTCAGGTAATCTCAAGGGGGGAGGTGTGTGTCTCTGTTAACAACAGCTGGTGTGCAATCTCTAATATTAAGGAAGTCTCAAGGTTCTGCTCGCCTGAGTTATAATACCTCATTATAAGCTGTAGACCATACTAAACTCAGAAGAAAGAAACGTTCTCTCACTGTCAACTGCGTTTATTTTCAGCACACTTAACATGAGTAGATATTTGTATGAACATAACAAGATTCAACAACTGAGACATAAACTGAACAAGTTCCACAGAAATTGAATAATGTGTCCCTGAACAAAGGGGGGGGGGGGGTCAAAATCAAAAGTAACAGTCAGTATCTGGTGTGGCCAGCAGCTGCATTAAGTACTGCAGTGCATCTCCTCCTCATGGACTGCACCAGATCTGCCAGTTCTTGCTGTGAGATGTTACCCCACTCTTCCACTAAGGCACCTGCAAGTTCCCGGACATTTCTGGGGGGAATGGCCCTAGCCCTCACCCTCCGATCCAACAGGTACCAGACGTGCTCAATGGGATTGAGATCCGGGCTCTTCGTTGGCCATGGCAGATCACTGACATTCCTGTCTTGCAGGAAATCACGCACAGAATGAGCAGTATGGCTGGTGGCATTGTCATGCTGGAGGGTCATGTCAGGATGAGCCTGCAGGAAGGATACCACATGAGGGAGGAGGATGTCTTCCCTGTAACGCACAGCGTTGCGATTGCTTGCAGTGACAACAAGCTCAGTCCGATGATGCTGTGACACACCGCCCCGTCCTTCGACGATTAACGCGAATCCGAACATCACCCCTGGTGAGACAAAACCTTGACTCGTCAGTGAAGAGCACTTTTTGCCAGTCCTGTCTGGTCCAGCGACGGTGGGTTTGTGCCCATAGGCGACGTTGTTGCCGGTGATGTCTGGTGAGGACCTGTCTTACAACAGGCCTACAAGCCCTCAGTCCAGCCTCTATCAGCCTATTGCGGACAGTCTGAGCACTGATGGAGAGATTGTGCGTTCCTGGTGTAATTCGGGCAGTTGTTGATGCCATCCTGTACCTGTCCCGCAGGTGTGATGTTCAGATGTACCGATCCTGTGCAGGTGTTGTTACACGTGGTCTGCCACTGCGAGGACGATCAGCTGTCCGTCCTGTCTCCCTGTAGCGCTGTCTTAGACGTCTCACAGTACGGACATTGCAATTTATTGCCCTGGCCACATCTGCAGTCCTCATGCCTCCTTGCAGCATGCCTAAGGTACGTTCATGCAGATGAGCAGGAACCCTGGGCATCTTTCTTTTGGTGTTTTTCAGAGTCAGTAGAAAGGCCTATTTAGTGTCCTAAGTTTTCATAACTGTGACCTTAATTGCCTACCGTCTGTAAGCTGTTAGTGTCTTAACGACCGTTCCACAGGTGCATGCTCATTAATTGTTTATGGTTCATTGAACAAGCATGGGAAACAGTGTTTAAACCCTTTACAATTAAGATCTGTTTAGTTATTTGGATTTTTACGAATTATCTTTGAAAGACAGGGTCCTGAAAAAGGGACGTTTCTTTTTTTACCAAGATAGTTTTAATCTATATTTTTCGTAGCTGTCTTTTTAGAATCACAAACCAATGCTGGCACTAAGACTGCACTCAACGAGCTCTATAGGGGCCATAAGCAAACAAGGAAATGCTCATCCAGAAGCAAATGCTCATACTACATCGGCTCTGACGCTCGTCGGATGTGGCAGGGCTTGCAAACTATCACGGATTATAAAGGGAAACCCAGCCACGAGCTGCCCAGTGACGCGAGCCTACCAGATGAGCTGAATGCCTTCTATGCTGACTTCGAGGCAAGCAAAACTGATCCATGCATGAGAGAACCAGCTGTTCTGGACGACCGTGTGATCATGCTCTCCGTAGCCGATGTGAATAAGACCTTTAAACAGGTTAATATTCACATGGCCGCAGGGCCAGACGGATTACCAGGACGCATACTCAGAGCATGTGCTGAGCAGCTGGCAAGAGTGTTCACTGACATTTTCAACCTCTCCCTTACCCAGTCTGTGATACCTACATGTTTCAAGCAGACCACCATAGTCCCTGTGCCCAAGAACGCCAAGGTAACCTGTCTAAATGACTAGTGCACCGTAGCACTCACATCTGTAGCCATCAAATGCTTTGAAAGGCTGGTCATGGCTCACATCAACACCCTCATCCTAGACACCCTGGACCCGTCCAATTCGCATACCGCCCCAACAAATCCATAGATGACGCAGTCTTGATTGCACTCCACACTGCCCTATCCCATCTGGACAAGAAGAATACCTATGTAAGAATGCAGTTCATTGACTACAGCTCAGCCTTCAACACCATAGTGCCCTCCAAACTCATCACTAAGCTCGGGGCCTTAGGTCTAAACCCTGCCCTGTGCACTGGGTCCTGGACTTCCTGACTGCCCGACCCTAGGTGGTGAAAGTAGGCAACAACACATTCGCCATGCTGACCCTCAACACATACTTAGTCCCCTCCTGTACTCCCTGTTCACCCACGACTGCGTGGCCGCGCACGACTTCAAAACCATCATTAAAGTTCGCAGACGACACAACGGTGGTAGGCCTGATCACCGACAACGATGAGACAGCCTATAGGGAGGAGGTCAGAGACCTGGCAGTGTGGTGCCAGGACAACAGCCTCTCTCTCAACGTCAGCAAGACAAAAGAGCTGATCGTGGACTACAGGAAACGGAGGGCCGAGCACGCCCCCATTCACATCGACTGGGCTGTAGTGGACTGGGTTGAAAGCTTCACGTTCCTTGGTGTCCACTAAGGATCTATCAAGGTCCACACACACCAACACAGTCGTTAAAAGGTCACGACAACGCCTCTTCCCCCTCAGGAGGCTGAAAAGATTTGGCATGGGCCCTCAGATCCTCAAAAAGTTATACAGCTGCACCATTGAGAGCATCTTGACTGGCTGCATCACTGTTTGGAATGGCAACTGTTTGACATCCGACCGTGCCATCCAGGACCTCTATACCAGGCTGTGTCAGAGGATGGCCCTAAAAATGGTCAATGACTCCAGCCACGCAAGTCATAGACTGTTCTCTCTGCTACCGCACTGCAAGCGGTACCGATGCACCAATCTGGAACCAACAGGACCCTGAACAGCTTCTACCCTAAACCATAAGACTGCTAAATAGTTATTTAAATAGTTGACCAGATAGCTACCTGGACTACCTGTATTTACCTTTTTTGCACTAACTAGTTATATGTAAATATCTACCTCAATTACCTCTTACCCCTGCACATCGACTCGGTACTGGTACTGGGGCAGCAGGTGGCCTAGTGGTTAAGAACATTGGGCCAGTAACCAAAAGGTCACTGGTTCGAATCCCCGAGCCGACTAGGGGAAAAATCTGTCTGTGCCCTTAAGCAAGGCACTTAACCCTAATTGCTCCTGTAAATTGCTCTGGATAAGAGCGTCTGCTAAATGACAATAATATACTGGTACCTCTTGTATATAGCCAAGTTATTGTTACTCTTTGTGTATTTACTTTTATTATTATGTGTTTTCTTTCTCTATTTTCTTTCTCTCTGCATTGTTGGGAAGGGCCCGTTAGTAAGCATTTCACTCTTAGTCTACACCTGTTGTTTACGAAGCATGTGACGAATACAATTTTATTTGATTTAAGGTATCGCAGCATCACCAAGCAGTTCTTCCGCAAGGCTGACGGTGTGGTAGTCATGTATGACATCACTGCTGAGCAGAGCTTTATTGCAGTGAGGCAGTGGCTGACCAGTGTACAGGTAGGATGAGCCCAAACACGTCACTGCTCACCTCTGACATAGTACACATAGCTCAGAGAAATGTAGATAGCACTGAGGGTTTCCTCCTGCTCAATAGCACATTCACTGTAGGCCTACATAACATTTGATGTACAATATCAGATCACATGCGCTACTTATTGTAATTCATACAGGATATCTGTAGAGGCACGATACAAGATACCATTACGCATTTGGTGACACAGTTCAGAGTACATCATGTCCACTACACTGATAAAGCCATGGAATGACTCAGTGTCCATCATCTCTGTCTCTCTTCACAGGAGGGGGCTGGTGAGGACATTCCCATCATGTTGCTGGGGAATAAAATGGACAAGTGGAGCGAGCGGAAGGTTCAGACAAGAGTGGGCGAGAAATTAGCCAAGGTCTGTCTATCAGCCATTCCTGGGCATTGTGTTAATGGCCCAGTCTTCAACCCACAGGCTTCACAGTACCCACACATATTCTCACTGAATAAGTAAAAGCAACAAAATGAGGCTTTTTAACGAGACGTGTGTGGGTCTCATTAATAGGGCCCAGGATATTTTTTCTTCTTCCTACGTCCTTCTATGTTTTCTTTTTCCTTTCTTTTCTTTGGGTCTGTAGTTTCTATGGTGATAGATAATTGCTGTGCCTCAGATCAGTCAAGAGCTGCTCTTCTTTTTCATTTTGCTCCTATGGCCATTAGTCCAGACAATGTTTACCTTAATGCTACTAAGGAGGCCTGAGTACCAGTAGATAGCGGTGTGGGAGAGGAGAGACTGATAGCCGCTTCCAATCACAGCACTGTACGTCCCATTGAATTCCTGTTTGCCATCTGGTAAAGACTTATCAAATCTCCTTTGCAGGACTGCCAGTTGATTTTCTACGAGTGCAGTGCTTGCTCCGGACAAAACGTGGTAGAATCAATGGTAAATTTGGCAAGGTGAGTTGAGTAAAGTGCTGTGAGGGATTTTTAACAGGACATAAGTCCTACTTCTTCCACATTACTATTGTCTTAAAACTATTATTTGTCATTTTGATTTTGGCCATTAATTAACAAGGCTACAGTGCATTCTGAAAGTATTCAGACCCCTTGACTTTTTCCACATTTTGTTACAGCCTTATTCTAAAATGGATTAAATAGTTTTTTCCCCCCTTATCAATCTACTCACAATACCCCATAATGACAAAGCAAAAACAGGTTTTTAGAAATGTTTGCAAATGTATTAAATAGAAAACTGAAATATTACATTTACATTACATTTACATCATTTAGCAGACGCTCTTATCCAGAGCGACTTACAAATTGGTGCATTCACCTTATAGCCAGAGGGATAAGCACTTTACAAGGTGTATTTTGTCTTTAATTTTTTTTTCTGTTATTATTATTATTTTTTGTATTTTTTTTTTAAATTTAAATTTTTAAATCTTTTTATTATTATTTTTATTTTTTTGGGGGGGCGGGTGGGTTGGGGTAAGGGAGGGGTAGAAGGATTACTTTATCCTATCCCAGGTATTCCTAAAGAGGTGGGGTTTCAAATGTCTCCAGAAGGTGGTGAGTGACTCCGCTGTCCTGGCGTCGTGAGGGAGCTTGTTCCACCATTGGGGTGCCAGAGCAGCGAACAGTTTTGACTGCGCTGAGCGGGAACTATGCTTCCGCAGAGGAAGGGGAGCCAGCAGGCCAGAGGTGGATGAACGCAATGCCCTCGTTTGGGTGTAGGGACTGATCAGAGCCTGAAGGTACGGAGGTGCCGTTCCCCTCACAGCTCCATAGGCAAGCACCATGGTCTTGTAACAGATGCGAGCTTCAACTGGAAGCCAGTGGAGTGTGCGGAGGAGGGGGGTGACGTGAGAGAACTTGGGAAGGTTGAACACCAGACGGGCTGCGGCATTCTGGATGAGTTGTAGGGGTTTAATGGCACAGGCAGGGAGCCCAGCCAACAGCGAGTTGCAGTAATCCAGACAGGAGATGACAAGTGCCTGGATTAGGACCTGTGCCGCTTCCTGTGTAAGGCAGGGTCGTACTCTCCGAATGTTGTAGAGCATGAACCTACAGGATCGGGTCACCGCCTTGATGTTAGCGGAGAACGACAGGGTGTTGTCCAGGGTCACGCCAAGGCTCTTCGCACTCTGGGAGGAGGACACAACGGAGTTGTCAACCGTGATGGCGAGATCATGGAACAGGCAGTCCTTCCCCGGGAGGAAGAGCAGCTCCGTCTTGCCAAGGTTCAGCTTGAGGTGGTGATCCGTCATCCATACTGATATGTCTGCCAGACATGCAGAGATGCGATTCGCCACCTGGTTATCAGAAGGGGGAAAGGAGAAGATTAGTTGTGTGTCGTCAGCGTAGCAATGATAGGAGAGGCCATGTGAGGATATGACAGAGCCAAGTGACTTGGTGTATAGCGAGAATAGGAGAGGGCCTAGAACTGAGCCCTGGGGGACACCAGTGGTGAGAGCACGTGGTGCGGAGACAGCTTCTCGCCACGCCACTTGGTAGGAGCGACCGGTCAGGTAGGACGCAATCCAAGAGTGAGCCGCGCCGGAGATGCCCAGCTCGGAGAGGGTGGAGAGGAGGATCTGATGGTTCACAGTATCAAAGGCAGCAGACAGGTCTAGAAGGACAATAGCAGAGGAGAGAGAGTTAGCTTTAGCAGTGCGGAGAGCCTCCGTGACACAGAGAAGAGCAGTCTCAGTTGAATGACCAGTCTTGATACCTGACTGGTTTGGATCAAGAAGGTCATTCTGAGAGAGATAGCAAGAGAGTTGGCTAAAGACGGCACGCTCAATAGTTTTGGAGAGAAAAGAAAGAAGAGATACTGGTCTGTAGTTGTTGACATCAGAGGGATCGAGTGTTGGTTTTTTGAGAAGGGGTGCAACTCTCGCTCTCTTGAAGACGGAAGGGACATAGCCAGCGGTCAAGGATGAGTTGATCAGCGAGGTGAGGTAGGGGAGAAGGTCAACGGAGATGGTCTGGAGAAGAGAGGAGGGGATAGGGTCAAGCGGGCAGGTTGTTGGGCGGCCTGCAGTCACAAGTCGCAAGATTTTATCTGGAGAGAGAGGGGAGAAAGAAGTCAAAGCATAGGGTAGGGCAGTGTGAGCAGGACCAGCAGTGTCATTTGACTTAACAAACGAGGATCGGTTGACGAAGTCATCCACGAGGAGGAGGAGGAGGGGGGGTGGGGGGGGATTCAGCAGGGAGGAGAATGTGGCAAAGAGCTTCCTAGGGTTAGAGGCAGATGCTTGGAATTTAGCGTGGTAGAAAGTGGCCTTAGCAGCAGAAACAGATGAAGAAAATGTAGAGAGGAGGGAGTGAAAAGATGCCAGGTCCGCAGGGAGTCTAGTTTTCTTCCATTTCCGCTCAGCTGCCCGGAGCTCTGTTCTGTGAGCTCGCAATGAGTCATCAAGCCACGGAGCTGGGGGGGAGGACCGAGCCGGCCGGGAGGATATGGGACATAGAGAGTCAAAGGATGCAGAAAGGGAGGAGAGGAGGGTTGAGGAGGCAGAATCAGGAGATTGGAGGGAGAAGGATTGAGCAGAGGGAAGAGATAATAGGATGGAAGAGGAGAGAGTAGCGGGAGAGAGAGAGCGAAGGTTGCGACGGCGCATTACCATCTGTGTAGGGGCAGAGTGAGTAGTGTTGGAGGAGAGAGAGAGAGAAAAGGATACAAAGTAGTGGTCGGAGACATGGAGGGGAGTTGCAGTGAGATTAGTAGAAGAACAGCATCTAGTAAAGATGAGGTCAAGCGTATTGCCTGCCTTGTGAGTAGGGGGGGACGGTGAGAGGGTGAGGTCAAAAGAGGAGAGGAGTGGAAAGAAGGAGGCAGAGAGAAATGAGTCAAATGTAGACGTAGGGAGGTTGAAATCCCCCAGAACTGTGAGGGGTGAGCCATCCTCAGGAAAGGAACTTGTCAAACTCATTGATGAACTATCCAAGGGAACCTGGAGGGCGATAGATGACAAGGATATTAAGCTTAAATGGGCTAGTGACTGTGACAGCATGCAATTCAAATGAGGAGATAGACAGATGGGTTAGGGGAAAATTGAGAATGTCCACTTGGGAGAGATGAGGATTCCTGTGCCACCACCCCGCTGACCAGATGCTCTCGGGGTATGCGAGAACACATGGTCAGACGAGGAGAGAGCAGTAGGAGTAGCAGTGTTTTCAGTGGAAATCCATGTTTCCGTCAGCGCCAAGAAGTCGAGGGACTGGAGGGTAGCATAGGCTGGGATGAAGTCTGCCTTGTTGGCTGCCTGAGACCTGGAACTCCAGGTGGGTGGTGCGTGCAGGGACCACCAGGTTAGAGAGGCAGCAGCCACGCGGTGTGAGGCGTTTGTGTAGCCTGTGCGGAGATGAGAGAACCGGGATAGGCAGAGGCATAGTTGACAGGCTGCAGCAAATGGCTACAATAATGCAGAGGAGATCGGAATGAAATTAACTAAACATCTGGGAAAGGAGAGAGCGGGGCCTCCCTCAGCACAACTCCCAAATATAACTCTCCCAACTTCCACCTCAGAAACTATAATTGTTGTAAACTACAACGGTTCAATGTTTCTAGGAATAGACTAACTCAGTTTATTCAGCTAGCTAACTAGGTGCAGTATTATTCCGTGAAAATCGTCCGGGCATCAAGTCATATGACGCCACAGCCAGCTAGCATGCCGGACTCCAGCAACACGGTTTAGCGCCAATACTCTGCCACAACAAACCACCAGTGTATCAACACGCACGCAGATCGTTCGTGTCCGTGTCTAACGTTGTGGGTTAGTCCCGACAGCTTGAGCGAGTCCGTCGTCAACTTATTCAGCCAGTTAGTTAGCTAGAATAGTTAGCAAACTAGCTAGCCATTGCTTTCAGACAAAGAAGAACCCCTCCTTTCACGGCACGAACACACAGAGAGAGCCAAACTAACGTTAGCTAGTTTGGCTCTATTATTTGGCAGCGATTACAGCCTTGAGTCTTCTTGGGTATGACGCTACAAGCTTGGCACCCCTGTATTTGGAGAGTGTCGTGGTAATTATAATAATCAAAGGAGAATCAAATCAAATCAAATTTTATTGGTCACATGCGCCGAATACAACAGGTTTAGACATTACAGTGAAATGCTTACTTACAGCCCTTAACCAACAGTGCATTTATTTTTAACAAAAAAAGTAAAAATAAAACAACAACAAAAAAAGTGTTTAGAAAAAAAAGAGCAGAAGTAAAATAAAGTAACAGTAGGGAGGCTATATATACAGGGGGGTACCGTTGCAGAGTCAATGTGCGGGGGCACCGGCTAGTTGAGGTAGTTGAGGTAATATGTACATGTGGGTAGAGTTAAAGTGACTATGCATAAATAATTAACAGAGTAGCAGCAGTGTAAAAAGGATGGGGTGGGGGGGCAGTGCAAATAGTCCGGGTAGCCATGATTAGCTGTTCAGGAGTCTTATGGCTTGGGGGTAGAAGCTGTTGAGAAGTCTTTTGGACCTAGACTTGGCACTCCGGTACCGCTTGCCGTGCGGTAGCAGAGAGAACAGTCTATGACTAGGGTGGCTGGAGTCTTTGACAATTTTGAGGGCCTTCCTCTGACACCGCCTGGTATAGAGGTCCTGGATGGCAGGAATCTTGGCCCCAGTGATGTACTGGGCAGTACGCACTACCCTCTGTAGTGCCTTGCGGTCGGAGGCCAAGCAGTTGCCATACCAGGCGGTGATGCAACCAGTCAGGATGCTCTCGATGGTGCAGCTGTAGAATTTTTTGAGGATCTGAGGACCCATGCCAAATACTTTCAGTCTCCTGAGGGGGAATAGGCTTTGTCGTGCCCTCTTCACGACTGTCTTGGTGTGTTTGGACCATGATAGTTCGTTGGTGATGTGGCACCAAGGAACTTGAAGCTCTCAACCTGTTCCACTACAGCCCCGTCGATGAGAATGGGGGCGTGCTCAGTCCTCTTTTTTTTCCTGTAGTCCACAATCATCTCCTTTGTCTTGGTCACGTTGAGGGAGAGGTTGTTGTCCTGGCACCACACGGCCAGGTCTCTGACCTCCTCCCTATAGGCTGTCTCATCGTTGTCGGTGATCAGGCCTACCACTGTTGTGTCGTCGGCAAACTTAATGATGGTGTTGGAGTCGTGCCTGGCCATGCAGTCATGGGTGAACAGAGAGTACAGGAGGGGACTGAGCACGCACCCCTGAGGGGGCCCCCGTGTTGAGGATCAGTGTGGCAGATGTGTTGTTACCTACCCTTACCACCTGGGGGCGGCCCGTCAGAAAGTCCAGGATCCAGTTGCAGAGGGAGGTGTTTAGTCCCAGGATCCTTAGCTTAGTGATGAGCTTAGAGGGCACTATGGTGTTGAATGCTGATTTGTAGTCAATGAATAGCATTCTCACGTAGGTGTTCCTCTTGTCCAGGTGGGAAAGGGCAGTGTGGAGTGCAATAGAGATTGCATCATCTGTGGATCTGTTGGGGCGGTATGCAAATTGGAGTGGGTCTAGGGTTTCTGGGATAATGCTGTTGATGTGAGCCATGACCAGCCTTTCAAAGCACTTCATGGCTACAGACGTCAGTGCTACGGGTCGGTAGTCATTTAGGAGAGACTTGTAGATTTCTTCAAAACCATCAAACTGTATTATTTAATTACTGCAGTAATGGAACGTTAATGGTCATCCAGTGGTGTAGAGTTAAGGCCCAAATAATAAGGGTTAGGTTACAACTTTTTATAGTATTTGAGTCCTCGTGACGAGGAACAGAAATGTGACTTCATACAAAAAGGTACATTGTGCTCTCATGCAACAGACAGCAAGATGTACATGGCGCCAAATATCTGTCTAGTTCATTTACTACTTGTTTATATAGAAATACTAATGCAACATAGGATACTAAGTCCTTCCCTTAATTTATGAAGTCCAGTGCTCATTAATAATTTGGAGGGAGTGTTTTCTTCACCCTGGCAGACAGACCAGCATTTAACATAGACACTACTAATGGAATGGAGTGTTTTCTTATCACCAGGCCATCGTAAATCAACTGTCAGCATTAAGCCTCAGAGGCTCCTCTCGGAAGAACAGACATTGTGAAAGTACTAATATAGGAACACATTCTAATATAAAAGTAATGTGATTAACAATGTTGTAATTCTACAACATTCCCCTATTCTGAGACTCATCTCAATTTAAAGATAATTACTACTTTAAAAAAAACATTAATACACATGTAGAAAACCAAATGAGGCATCAAACATAAAAAAACGTCCTTGCACTATTATACTACCATTGTAAATGACCATCCGTTAGTTCATTGAGCTTTTAAACTTAACATAAAAGGATCCTTTATTGGGAATGATATAAACATTAAAATATAATTAAGAAATTATCAGAAATCGGAATACATTTTATCAGTATGAAACACAATCATCATGTTGATACTGAGCATACTCCCATAGTGGAAATAACTATTCCCATAACACCATCTGTAGAAACTAAAATTAGCATATGTTGTTGGACAAATCCAGGTAGTGACTCCCGGTTTAAGTAAAATGTATTCTGTTTAGTGCCTAATGAACATGACCCAGGACAAGCATCATGATCCCGCTATTTATAAGGCAACGCCTATGGACTCTGTTACATTAGCATAGTTCCTGAGTATTATCATTATCATCAAAAATGTAAATTTGGTATTGGATATAGGTCAAAATAGATTAGGATCAGTTTCACTCTCAGGATCAGAGTTCACCCCCTTCATTCACCAGGGCATGCTGAGAATAGTTGAAAAATAAAAGGAGAGCTGCACACTCTAGGAGCTCTGATGCAATCATTTAATAACCTAATAACCAACGTTTCGACAGACAAGCTGTCTTCATCAGAGAATAGTGTCAATATCTTTAGTACATAACTTCTTTACCCATGTCACAATTAGCATAACAATCAAACCCTAACATTAATTGCTTCACTCATATAATCATTACCATACTATAAACATACTAAAATCAATTAGTCCGTTTTCTAAAAATCATTCAGTTTCCCAATCATAATCAAAACTATTAATTATCCAACCCAAATGTAGAATGACAATGCTTCAGTGATTCACATTAGTTATATCACTCAAAGTTAAAACCCTCAACTTAGCACACATAGACACTGGCAGAATGTACATTTATATTAACATACAGTATATTCATCAATTTTAGTATTAACTTTCTCATCACGATGTATAATTACAGATCAGTATCTTAATGCATTCTTAATCTAAATTACTATAAATTTAGCAGTGTATAGACCTCCACAAATCAACCTCATACCCCAAAATAAACAATTTTAGACAAGCCTAAATCAATTAAGGCACAGTTGACCATCCCCGGCGCTAAATCTTCTGGTGTCTCTTCATTTTCTTCTTCAGATAGCTTTATAGTTCAAAGTGGATGGCCCATGATAATGTCCCAATTTCAATGTCTCACATGGGCCTGCCACCTTTACCACCCATTATGTCTTGTCCATTTGCCAACCAGTATACTAGCAACATGAGAAGTTTTGGAACGGATCTCTCTTCATGCTCACTCCACGTGGACTCCTGTCACACTCTTGAGAGAAAAGGCATGAGAGAAAAAGCAGTTGATAGCTTCGATTGGATGCTGTGTACAGGTTGCTAGCTCGGACTCAGGTCTCTTGGTAGAAGTGGTGCAGGACCATACTGAACGCCATTTTCTTCAAACGGTTAGAGGGGGTTTTGAGGTTCCCACCGTTCTCGGCCGAATTATCCCTTTCATGCATATAGATACCATCTGTAGTCACCTTCACCATAACGTCGAGAGAGGACAGATCAGAACAACAGTTCAGTTCAGTTCATTTCTGATTCAGGAAATCCAGACTTTAAGCAGAACGAACACCTTCTAAAGGAAACAAACCCAGAACCCCTTTCCGGTAATCTTATCATTGTAACCTGTTGCATTGATTCAGTAAAAATATAAACCTGTTGAAGGTTCTAGATTTGCTAATCAACAAGTTGGTGCTGTCTCATCAGAGTAATAGTCAAAACTAACTGCAATCCACTGTTCCACGTAATGTAAACATATTATCAGTTTAGAATACATTAACTGTTTTTTTAAATCACCAGTGTTACCCGAACTATAGAATTGAGTGATAATAATTAGAAAATATAAAAAACATCTCTGCATTTAACTTAGTCAAAACTCTACACCAAACTATCCACTACGTCCCTTACAGCCTGCTCGATTTCAACAAGCACCAGTTGCTTACACCCGCAGACTCTTCTATTCGTTCCGTGTAGCTCAGTTGGTAGAGCATGGTGCTCGCAACGCCAGGGTTGTGGGTTCGAATCCCACGGGGGGCCAGTATGAAAAATGTATGCACTCACTAAACTGTAAGTCGCTCTGGATAAGAGCGTCTGCTAAATGACTAAAATGTAAATGTAAACAAAATTAAAAAATTAAAAACCCATTCTCAAACAACGTTCTGCGTTTACCTCTATCGTAAGGTAAAAAAAGAAAACATTTACAACTTTCTCTTCTCTTCCTGCTTCACACTCATGAAATGTCCATTACTTTAAAATTAACATGTAATGCGCCAAATTTATCAAATACGTCAGTCAATCCATAAGGAAAAAGATACATTCCGATGGGAGCTAAAATAGTTCACAACACTAGAGCCTCTGTCTGCCCACAACTTCAATTCATTGCTGTTGTAGCCTTGTATTATCATGCAATAATGAATACCCATGTTTAGTTATCAACCATGATCATGGTCACAGCTCTATCACAATTACCTATCCGCTATTAATAGAATGCATTAGATATAGGTAACAGTCCCTTCTGATTAGACTACAGGTAATAAAACACTTGTTGACAATCATATATTCAATTAATATCCATAGTATTAATATTCAATGTAGTGATTTAAATTACGACCCCATTCTCAGTAGTTTCCACCAGCAAACCATTAGGCAACACAAAACATTATTACATTTACATTTCAGTCATTTAGCAGATGCTCTTATCCAGAGCGACTTACAGTTAGTGAGTGCATACTTTTTTTTTTTCATACTGGCCACCCCGTGGGAATCGAACACACATCCCTGGCGTTGCAAGCGCCATGCTCTACCAACTGAGCTACAAGGGAAATCGTCCCGCTATTCATGTTGAATAAATTAGCCTTTCAATTTGAACTAAGCAAGCTGCTAAATCATTCAGTATATATCTTAAAATAAACACTGGCTGCTATATCTATCGAAGCAAACCATACCAATAGTTTGAATTACAATCAGAAACCCAGATTTTAGTCAGTAACATAGAACCTATGCCTATTGAAATGACAAGTAAATCCCGCAAATAACCCAAAGCAGATTATCTTTTCCCTTGCGACAGAATGAAATTCCTTTATTACATCACATTTGCACAGCAATGAGTATTATCTTGATATAAATAACGTTGAGATTCCACCTTAATTCGCTCTAACTGTACGAAATAAACTAATTTCAGGCCTTATGGGCAGTTTTGGTTTTAATGTATTACCGGGGCGGAGAAAATCCCATAAGCGTTTTATAGTTGCATCATTAGGGTAAGTCAATTCCCCATACTTCCCAAAAGTGGACATATGCCAATCAGTTTCTGAGACTATTTCCCAGTTAATGCTCTAACTTTATCTTTATCAAATTATCCATAAATGGGACTAACTCAGAAAATATTTTATTTTTTCCCACCCCTTACGTTTGGGTGCGCAAATTGGTATATGAATATTATACATTCCATTATTAATTCATCAAATCTGTAGTAATAGATTATACACACATACAATTTGTCACATTTTCATACATTCACAGAATCTATATATAACGTTAGAAATCTTAGGTACTCACATCCACCACTCCATGTGCGTTGTCATACTCCCAACGAAAAATACAAAATAAAGTTTCCCGGACGCTGCCCTGCGGGTCATGGGAATAATGCTCCACACGTATCCTCAGTTCTCTAGACTTCCAGAAGTTAGACTTGCCGCTACTGTCTAAAATAACATCCCACACTCAATACCACCCTGTGATATTCAATGATGGCCAGTGATGGACGCAACCCCAAGATAACGTTACATATCGAAACGTATTATCCACATTTAAATCAGATTATTATACACATTTCTATATTTTATTATCCAAACCACAGATTAAGACTTATTTCCACATTCACACAACTCTCATTTCACATTCACACAATACTATTCCCAAACACACTGAATCAACATTGTTATAACCTGCAGGAATATTTTATTCTATAACGGGCCCAAATTTGGAATGTCAAATCTATTACATTAACATTTTACCATAACCAATTTTCCCATAATCATAAATCTCTAAGGTTTCCAAATTTGGGAAACCTGCAGGGATCGGTCCCCCCGAGATACAATGGCCGGACCACACCCTAAAAGACTGGCCGAAATACAATGTCTAGACGTCAGATACACCGTACACGCAACCTGTTCTCCAAACAGGATTTCTTATACTTCAATTGTAGATCGCCGACATTCCTAGGGTTCATAATGAGATCCAGTATCTCACAAAAGTGAGTACACCCCTCACATTTTTGTAAATATTTTAAATATTTGAGTATATATTTTCATGTGACAACACTGAAGAAATGACACTTTGCTACAATGTAAAGTAGTGAGTGTACAGCTTGTATAACAGTGTAAATGTGCTGACCCCTCAAAATAACACAACACACAGCCATTAATGTCTAAACCGCTGACAACAAAAGTGAGTACACCCCTAAGTGAAAATGTCCAAATTGGGCCCAAAGTGTCAATATTTTGTGTGGCCACCATCATTTTCCAGCACTGCCTTAACCCTCTTGGGCATAGAGTTCACCAGAGCTTCACAGGTTGCCACTGGAGTCCTCTTCCACTCCTCCATGACGACATCACGGAGCTGGTGGATGTTAGAGACCTTGCACTCCTCCACCTTCCGTTTGAGGATGCCCCACAGATGCTCAATAGGGTTTAGGTCTGGAGACATGCTTGGCCAGTCCATCACCTTTACCCTCAGCTTCTTTAGCAAGGCAGTGGTCGTCTTGGAGGTGTGTTTGGGGTCATTATCATGTTGGAATACTGCCCTGCGGCCCAGTCTCCGAAGGGAGGGGATCATGCTCTGCTTCAGTATGTCACAGTACATGTTGGCATTCATGGTTCCCTCAATGAACTGTAGCTCCCCAGTGCTGGCAGCACTCATGCAGCCCCAGACCATGACACTCCCACCACCATGCTTGACTGTAGGCAAGACACACTTGTCTTTGTACTCCTCACCTGGTTGCCGCCACAAACGCTTGACACCATCTGAACCAAATACGTTTATCTTGGTCTCGTCAGACCACAGGACATGGTTCCAGTAATCCATGTCCTTAGTCTGCTTGTCTTCAGCAAACTGTTTGCGGGCTTTCTTGTGCATCATCTTTAGAAGAGGCTTCCTTCTGGGACGACAGCCATGCAGACCAATTTGATGCAGTGTGCGGCGTATTGTCTGAGCACTGACAGGCTGACCCCCCACCCCTTCAACCTCTGCAGCAATGCTGGCAGCACTCATACGTCTATTTCCCAAAGACAACCTCTGGATATGACGCTGAGCACGTGCACTCAACTTCTTTGGTCGACCATGGCGAGGCCTGTTCTGAGTGGAACCTGTCCTGTTAAACCGCTGTATGGTCTTGGCCACCGTACACTGTACACTCACTACTTATACTAGTTATACAAGCTGTACACTCACTACTTTACATTGCAGCAAAGTGTCATTTCTTCAGTGTTGTCACATGAAAAGATATACTCAAATATTTACAAAAATGTGAGGGGTGTACTCACCTTTGTGAGATACTGTACCTATTTATCTTTTCCAAACCTACTCCACGTCCCTCAGGAATAGTTTCAATAATGAACACCCTTTTTGCCTAACTGCCCACTTCTTACCTAGGTAAATAAGAGACTATACTCGCTTTTCCAACCTACCCCACAACCTAGGATAAGGGTAACATGTCTTTCAAGAAAAATATATCATTAGCTACGTGAAATTTATTTTTTCTTCCCCACTCAACATTTTCGCCTAAACTGCCCACTCAACAATGTTCAATAAATGTTCAACATCTACGACTAAATTGCCCACTCAACATTAACAATGTTCAATTAATGTTCAACTAGTACTATTAATTCTGTGCACTTTCAAGTTTAATTATTGAAAGAAATCAGTCTCACCCTTAATCTAATTCTGTTCGAAATGATGTATCCATTCAGCTGACTCTCCCAGCCAGGTGGGGATCCGATTTGCGCCGTCTAGTGGAGTGTGGCTTTCCCAGCTGCATCTAATGCAACTCCTCGCACGGTTAACCTGAATTACCCTGGGAACAATCAGCAAAATGAAGATTATCATCCCATCCTCGTCGCCAATATTGTCGTGGTCATTATTCTAATCAAAGGAGAGACTTGTAGATTTCTTCAAAACCATCAAACCTTATTATTTAACTACTCCAGTAATGGAACGTTAATGGTCATCCAGTGGTGTAGAGTTAAGGCCCAAATAATAAGGGTTAGGTTACAACTTTTTATAGTCTTTGAGTCCTCGTGACGAGGAAAAGATGACTTTATACAAAAGGTACATTGTGCTCTCATGCAACAGACAGCAAGATGTGCATGGCGCCAAATATGTCTCTAGTTCATTTAATACTTGTTTATACAGAAATACTAATGCAACATAGGATACTAAGTCCTTCCCTTAATTTATGAAGTCCAGTGCTCATTAATAATCTGGAGGGAAGGTTCTCCTCACCCTGGCAGACAGACCAGCATTCAACAAAGACACTAATAATGGAATGGAGTGTTTTCTCACCAGGCCATCGTAAATCAACTGTCAGCATTAAGCCTCAGAGGCTCCTCTCGGAAAAACTGACTGAAAGTACTATTATAGGAACACATTCTTAATATAAAAGTAATGTGATTAACATAATGTTGTAATTCTACGACAAGAGTTTCTCCCATTCTTCTCTGCAGATCCTCTCAAGCTCTGTCAGGTTGGATGGGGAGCATCGCTGCACAGCCATTTTCAGGTCTCTCCAGAGATGTTCGATCGGGTTCAAGTCCGGGCTCTGGCTGGGCCACTCAAGGACATTCAGAGACTTGTCCCGAAGCCACTCCTGCGTTGTCTTGGCTGTGTGCTTAGGGTCGTTGTCCTGTTGGAAGGTGAACCTTCACCCCAGTCTGAGGTCCTGAGCGCTCTGGAGCAGGTTTTCAATCAAGGATCTCTCTGTACTTTGCTCCGTTCATCTTTCCCTCGATCCTGACTAGTTTCCCAGTCCCTGCCGCTGAAAAACATCTCCACAGCATGATGCTGCCACCACCATGCTTCACTGTAGGGATGGTGGCAGGTTTCCTCCAGACGTGACGCTTGGCATTCAGGCCAAAGAGTTCAATCTTGGTTTCATCAGACTAGAGAATCTTGTTTCTCATGGTCTGAGAGTCCTTTAGGTGCCTTTTGGCAAACTCCAAGTGGGCTGTCATGTGCCTTTTACTGAAGAGTGGCTTCCGTCTGGCCACTCTACCATAAAAGCCTGATTGGTGGAGTGCTGCAGAGATGGTTGTCCTTCTGGAAGGTTCTCCCATCTCCGCAGAGGAACTCTGGAGCTCTGTCAGAGTGACCATTGGGTTCTTGGTCACCTCCCTGACCAAGGTCCTTCTCCCCCGATTGCTCAGTTTGGCCGGGCGGCCAGCTCTAGGAAGAGACTTGGTGGTTCCAAACTTCTTCCATTTAAGAATGATGAAGGCCATTGTGTTCTTGGGGACCTTCAGACAGTTTTTGGTAGCCTCGACACAATCCTGTCTCGGAGCTCTACGGGCAATTCCTTCAACCTCATGGCTTGGTTTTTGCTCTGACATGCACTGTCAACTGTGGGACCTTATATAGACAGGTGTGTGCCTTTCCAAATCATGTCCAATCAATTTAATTTACCACAGGTGGACTCCAATCAAGTTGTAGAAACATCTGAAGGATGATCAATGGAAACAGGATGCACCTGAGCTCAATTTCGAGATAGCAAAGGGTCTGAATACTTATGTAAATAAGGTATTTCTGTGTTTTATATTGAATACATTTGCAAAAATGTCTAAACCTGTTTTCACTTAGTCATTATTGGGTATTGTGTGTAGATTTGATGAGGGAAAAAAACAAATTTAATCAATTTTCGAATAAGGCTGTAACGTAACAAAATGTGGAAAAAGGGAAGGGGTCTGAATACTTTGAATGCACTGTATATGACGGGAAAACAAACGTAATACTGTCAGGCCAAAATGTAATAACTGTCTTCTTAACTTAGTCCAAGCTGGGCTTTATGCGGTCTGCAGTGAAATCTAACAACTCACATTAAGCCAAATGTGTCAGTGTGTCGGGAGTTACAATAGTCCCTTTCTCTGTGTTGATATTAACAAGTACAGGGCAAGATAAGGAAAACAATGGCCAATCTTATCATTTCTAAATAGACACTTTAGACACGTATACATAACTTTATCCTAGAACTTGAAATGCTCCCAACTTCAATAATAGGATCAGAATCTTGCACTGTAATAGAGGTTGAGGATGGGTTCTTACTCTCAATAATAAACAATGAACCTACAGTATACTGTGTGTGTGACTGGCGCATTTCTTAGGGAAATCTCTTTTCCTGTGTCTTCTAGAATTCTGAAAGAGCAGGAGGACAGAGAGAAAGAGAAGACGATCCAACTGGTGAACAGCCCTTCACAGAAGAAGAGGTCCTGCTGCTAGCAACAAAAAGGCTATTACCTGTTCACTGTACTTTCTGAACTCCGGTCCTTAGGAACTCAAGGATCTACAGCACAATACCTCTCTCGATCTCTCTGTCTCGGTTTCACTCTAACTCTCTCTCTACACATGCAGCACTTCACACCATGAAAGGGCCAGGCTACGGGCTGATACTACCATAGGTGAATAGAATTAAATAAAAAAAAGACAGTATTGCACTATTATAATAGCACATAGATGTATTTTCCTAATAACTACAATGTATTTTTTATGAAAATGTATTTTCAACCAGCTAAGCCAAAACCAACAGTGTGTCAAACAAATATACTGTATAAAAATGAAAAAGTAATCTTTTAAGAAAGTAAACTTTGTTTATGCTGGGTTAGGTTTTGGCCAATTTGTGAAATCGGGATTTTGTTCAGAACCTATTGAACATTTCCAGCAGTAAAGAAGAGTTAATATTATGTCAGATTTTGACTATCTCAGATCAATTTGGTTAATAGATGAGCCTATCCCTCAAACGTAATAAGGTTTACTGTTGTACATTGGGACGATTGTCCAGAAGTCAACTATGTGTATAGAAATGCCTTTGCAATGACTGGACGGTAATAGAGCTCTGCCATACTGGACCTCTATCAAAGCGTTTGCATGCAAACTGTCACCACTATTTGGCTTTTTTATGTAATTGGCGCAGTGTTATTTCTATGAAGGAGTTGTCCTGTTGTTGTACTGTAGTTGTTTGCTCAATCTTGCCAACGGATATGCCTTTTCAACAACCAGATCTCTTAGAAGTATTTGTTTGTGGACGTGCTAAAACATTTATTCTAATAATTCCATAAAAGTTGGTATAGCACCAAGTATTCTTGAACAAATTATCTTGAGCTCCAGCTGGGAATTTGTTGTAATATAACATATTGTAATGTACACGGTCACTGCACCCGTACAGTATAGCAACTTAGCTTCCCATAGATACATATGAGACAATGGAGGTGTCATTAGTATGTGTATGTTCTGGGATGTTGAGGAACACTGACAAATCATCATTTGGGGCTCTCCAGTGTAGAGTATCTCTTGTGTATTTGACAATGTGCAATAGATTCATGACCACTCTAAACGAACCAACCCGGTTGCATTTGTGCCACGCTACTGTGCCTGTGTTCTTGCACAATAATGTATGTGAAAATGTAAATATGAAAAATGTTGTATGGTTTCTCTGAATAATAAATGGATATTGTATATTTATTTCAGCGATCTTGTGAATGAAATAATCAGATGGTTGTAAAAACTTGAATTACAGATGCCACCTAGTGGACAATGTTAGCCTTTAGCTTAACTTTAATTTAACTCTTACATGACAGCAGGTACAATTAACAATACAACGCTTAAATAGCACTATTTTTAAACTCAATAGAAAATGTAATTGTCATACGAAATTAACATATAGCACAATTTCAGTAGCTGAGTTGAATGAAAGTGGCAACCATGTTGTTTTAGTACTTCAGTAGGCTACTGGGTGTAAACAGTTGTATGCATGCAACTGTACATAATCTACTTAGTGGATACTATTTCAGTTAGATTTTCTTCATGGTTTATAGTATTTTATTGCTTTTTTATTCTATTTTACACACTATGCTACACATACAGTATATAAATAATAAACCAACCTGCACATCAAAACACACAGGCAGATACTGGATCAAAAGCAAAAAAGGTAAGGAGGACATACTATATGCTCACAAGAGACAGCTCTCAACATGAAACCTGCCCTCCTAGATCAATACTCAGACCCTTTACGGAACAGATTGTACATGAGTCAAATGTCACTCACTCATTACTAGCCACTAGTCTACTCATACATGGCATGTCACACTGTATGTCTTCTGAATGGTCATAAGTGTTGTGCTGATGATCTTCATTGAGAGACATGGAAGAGCGAGGGGACTGGAAGTGAGTCTGTATCTTGGCTGCAGATAGAATGTATTTCGTAAGGAAGGATGGTGTAACAGTACTACACAACTGTGAGGGGAGGTCACACAGTTGGACTGGAGGACACTTCCAGTTGTTGCCTTGGCGATGACCTTAGAGTTAGTAAGAGCACAGGTGAAGGGAAGGAGCTGCCGCCTGAGAGTCCATCAACTCCAGCGCTGAGCAGAGAGGCTGGAATGAACTCTCTCTATGCTACTGATCTAACGACAGGACTAACCGCTGACAGTTGCTAGGCCAGGCTCTGAGGACAGGCCAGTTACTGACTCGAGATCAGCAGAGCCAGAGCAAACATGGTAACTACAAGGCCCTCAAATTGAGAGGAGTTCAGTGAGCAGCAGCTACCGATGTGAGGCCCCACCCACTGAATGCTGCAGCACACTCACCACTTCTTGGTGTGGCTTCAGTGTGTCCACTTCAACCATCTTACAGAATTCAAGAGACAGTGGTTATTATTGAATATCATTATTACCTAATGAACTATCTATGGTATGGGCAAAAAACAGCACTATAGAATGTCGCTATGGGGGTGGGAGAAATATCCCACTGGGCACAGACGTCAATTCAAAGTATATTCCACGTTGGTTCAACGTCATTTCCTTGAAATGACGTGGAAACAACATTGATTCAACTAGTGTCTGCCCAGTGGGTCAGGAGCTTTTGCAGGCATCTAGACAAGAGCCGCAGACTATGCTGATTACAACGTTGACATCACAGCTCTAATAGAAACCACAGACCACACTTTGGAGTGCAAGCTGCACAAATGTATGAGCTCTCACACTGTTATATTGCACGCTCCCAAAAAGCTACAGTACATCACCTGATTGCAAACACACACTATCATTCACATCATTACACATACAGTATGCAGCACTGAATTATTCTTGGCCAATACATTTAATTACTGCACTACCAGATACGGTGAAGATTATTAAGAAATATGCAGAATTGGGTAATTTAAAAGTCTATTTGAAGAAAAATCATAACTACTGGCCTAGGCTGTAGAATATTAAAAATTATTGTTATATGCTATATAAAAGCGAAGTACAGTAACTGCAGTAATTGATCATATGGGCTCCAAACACTGAAGCTCACTTACAAAATATTTTCTTCTAACTAATCCTGTGGCCTGATTATTTTGGATGAACAATTAACAAAATCAAGATAACGTTGGTTGCCACCTCTCACATACAGTATAGATCAATATTCAATAACATTCATAATGACTAGAACATTATTGAATTCACAAGGTGTTACATTCAAAGTTGTCCTCTGAACAGTTGGCCTAACAGTTAAGAGCCGGTGAGAGGTGTCGATGTGGGCATGTTGATATTGCTTGGAGTGCCACCCCTGCACTTATGCTCTTCTCTCATCATAACCTGATTCTTCTGATCTGGCATATCCCTCCATCCATCCTCTCTCATCCCTCTATCTCCTCTCTGATTCCTGCATACCACCATCTCCTCCCTCCATCCCAACCTCTCTCATTCCTACATCCCACTCTCTCTTCTCCCTCCACCCCATCCTCTCTCCTCAGTGTCTGTTGTCAAGGGGAGTGCCTCTGCCTGTTTGTTTTGCTGCAGGCAGCACTGCACACCGGCACTCCCTATTGGACACTTAGCTAACGCATCTTGTAGTCGTGGGAGATGGCTGCCTCACATAACTGTCCTTTGAAATCCAGCTCAAAGGTAAAGTCCAAGTCACGCTGCGAGAAAGAGAAAGAGAAAGAGAGATCAAAGTGAGTGTTCAATCAGACTTTTCTTATTTCAGGCCTGTCACCTGAAAGCTCTCACACAGGCAATTTGTACAGATGAGGAAAGAGGGTGGGGTGGATTCCAGGACTCGGTATCATCATCTCCTGTTTGGTCTGGGGTCTGGAAATGATCAGAGTGTTCTCTCTCCTTTGACCTTTATCACAAAGATTATGATTAAAACAAGCAGTCTATTGTGGAGAGGTAGTAGTGGAATTTAGTTTCTTTCTAGCTATATAATGTTAGAATAAATGCTTTATCTGCCTGAAATGACTTTATTTGACCTTCTGACTTCATTTTGATAGACAAGTACAGATGTTATATGTATGACCTGTACCTATCCCTGTGGGGCCAGGATCTCTAGCTATCATGCAGTAGGTAGGGGCTAGGGCCTTTTTTCTCTCAACATTTGACCAGACCAAAACTCTGGTACCTAGATGGGGCGGTTTCCCGGACACAGATTAGGTCTAGTACTGGACTACAAAGCACTTTCAATGGAGATTCTCCATTGATCTTGCTTTTTAGTCCAAGACTAGACTGTGTCCCAGAAACCGCACCTATAAGTATAACTTCTATGTTAAAGTTGATTACTTTTTACTGGTCATAGATTCCAGACACTCACTATGTTCTTGTCGTTGGGCTTCATGTTGATGCTGCCGATGATCTCTTCCCCTCTTCTCACAGTCAGGTAGTCCTCCAGGTAGAACACTGTCTGTTTCCAGTGTGTGTACGGAGCATCGGGGGCTGTAGGAAGACAGACAGGCAGTTAGGGCCAAATCCTAACTTCAGGTCTGTGTGCTTAAAGGTCCAATGCAAACGTTTTTATCTTAATATCTGAGAGGATTTCTATCTGTAATAAAGGCCTTGTATGGGAATAACTCATTCTGATTGGCTGGGCCTGGATCCCCAGTGGGTGGGCATGCTCCCAAGTGGGTAGGCCTATGCCCTCCCAGGCCCACTCATGGCTGCGCTCCTGCCCAGTCATGTGAAATCCATAGATTAGGGCCTAATTTATTTATTTCAATTGACTGATCTCCTTATATGAACTCTAACTCAGTAAAATCTTTGAAATAGTTGCATGTTGTGTTTATATTTTTATTCAGTATACATACTATGTAGTGTTCTGATCAGTATACACCAGTGGAGGCTCCTCAAAGGAGGAAGGGAAAGACCATCCTCCTCAGTGAATTCCATAAAAATGGTAAAACATTAAAAAAGTTATCCTTTTTAGATAAAACTATACTAAATATATGTCACCAAATAATTTATTAAAACACGCTGTTTTGCAATGAAGGTCTACAGTAGCCTCAACAGCACTCTGTAGGGTATCACCATGGTGTAGCCTGAGGACAGCTAGCTTCCGTCCTCCTCTTTGTACATTGACGTCAATACAAAACCTAGGAGGCTCTTGGTTCTCACCCCCTTCCATAGACTTACACAGTAATTATGGCAACTTCCAGAGGACATCCTCCAATCTGTCAGAGCTCTTGCAGCATGAACTGACATGTTGTCCACCCAATCAAAGGATCAGAGAATTAATCTAGTACTGAAAGCATAAGCTATAGCTAGCTAGCACTGCATTGCATAAATTGTGGTGAGTAGTTGACTCAAAGAGAGAGAAAGACAATAGTTGAACAGTTTTCTACAAATTAATTTCTTCAAAAATGAAGGAGAAGCAAGAGAGAGAGAGAGTGTCATTTTCTTTCACTTTCAGTTTCACTTATTTAGCTAGCAAATGCAGCTGGCTAGTTTAGTTACTAAAACACCCGGCTCAAACAGAGGGATGCTATGTTAGCTAGCTGGCTATGACTATCCAACACAACACTGGAACTCTGGTTTTATTAATTTATTGCCACCGGGGACCACCGGTGTAACTGCTTACTGACTATACACTGTAACATTACTGCATGATTGTAGCGGGTTTAATAACGCATTAGTTCTATTAGCTATGTTTACTTTACTTTATCTAATATGGGGACAACGATGTAGGCTGTGTGTAGCGGTTATGACATGATTTGGCTTGGAAAGGTTTTTTCACCACATACAGCTGATGTGTTGTTCATTGAAGTCCACAAACGAAGGGAAAATGTGAGAGGGAATACAACGTGGCTGCTATGAAAGTGAACTGTGTTTATGCGTGATCAGGGGTGTATTCATTCCGCTGATTCTGTTGAAAATGTTTCTTAAACGGAAGCAAACTGAAACGGGGATAAAAATACCTGAATTTGTCCAATAGAAACTCTAATTTGCAACTGTTGGACTAATGATTACACCCTAGATAAGCTAGATGCAGGCAAGAGTGTGCAAGGCGGTATTGAATGTGTCACTGTCTGTCCATGTGTCACTGTCTGTCATCTCAAATTTATCCCGACCTTTGTTGCACCTACGTTGTAACCTTTCATTCATAGGCTAGGATGTTGCAACCTCATGATGGGTATAAGGAAAATTATAGTATCATGTAGTAGCCTAAACCTATCGATGTTACATTGAGCTGAATGGAATATGAATGACAGTCATCCAACATGCTGTAATAGAAAGAAGGCCATGCTCATGAAAAAAAAAATCATCCTCCCTCATCATAAACAGCACTGACCGCCATTGGTATACACGTGAATCACTATCAGGGTTGGGGTAATTTCCAATTTAAAATTCTTGAATTAACTAATTTACATTGAATTCAATTCGAATTTCAACAATCTTCAAGTTATGGAATTGGAATGGAATTGGACTGTTTGAATTGGAATTTAAATGGAATTGTAAAATATATATATATATATATATATATATACACACACACACACACACACACACACACACACACAGTGGGGAGAACAAGTATTTGATACACTGCCGATTTTGCAGGTTTTCCTACTTACAAAGCATGTAGAGGTCTGTAATTTTTATCATATGTACACTTCAACTGTGAGAGACGGAATCTAAAACAAAAATCCAGAAAATCACATTGTATGATTTTTAAGTAATTAATTTGCATTTTATTGCATGGCATAAGTATTTGATCACCTACCAACCAGTAAGAATTCCGGCTCTCACAGACCTGTTAGTTTTTCTTTAAGAAGCCCTCCTGTTCTCCACTCATTACCTGTATTAACTGCACCTGTTTGAACTCGTTACCTGTATAAAAGACACCTGTCCACACACTCAATCAAACAGACTCCAACCTCTCCACAATGGCCAAGACCAGAGAGCTGTGTAAGGACATCAGGGATAAAACTGTAGACCTGCACAAGGCTGGGATGGGCTACAGGACAATAGGCAAGCAGCTTGGTGAGAAGGCAACAACTGTTGGCGCAATTATTAGAAAATGGAAGAAGTTCAAGATGACGGTCAATCACCCTCGGTCTGGGGCTCCATGCAAGATCTCACCTTGTGGGGCATCAATGATCATGAGGAAGGTGAGGGATCAGCCCAGAACTACACGGCAGGACCTGGTCAATGACCTGAAGAGAGCTGGGACCACAGTCTCAAAGAAAACCATTAGTAACACACTACGCCGTCATGGATTAAAATCCTGCAGCGCACGCAAGGTCCCCCTGCTCATGCCAGCGCATGTCCAGGCCCGTCTGAAGTTTGCCAATGACCATCTGGATGATCCAGAGGAGGAATGGGAGAAGGTCATGTGGTCTGATGAGACAAAAATAGAGCTTTTTGGTCTAAACTCCACTCGCCGTGTTTAGAAGAAGAAGAAGGATGAGTACAACCCCAAGAACACCATCCCAACCGTGAAGCATGGAGGTCGAAACATCATTCTTTGGGGATGCTTTTCTGCAAAGGGGACAGGACGACTGCACCGTATGGAGGGGAGGATGGATGGGGCCATGTATCGCGAGATCTTGGCCAACAACCTCTTTCCCTCAGTAAAAGCATTGAAGATGGGTCGTGGCTGGGTCTTCCAGCATGACAAAGACTCGAAACACACAGCCAGGGCAACTAAGGAGTGGCTCCGTAAGAAGCATCTCAAGGTCCTGGAGTGGCCTAGCCAGTCTCCAGACCTGAACCCAATAGAACATCTTTGGAGGGAGCAGAAAAATTGAGGTCAGGGCTTTGTGATGGCCACTCCAATACCTTGACTTTGTTGTCCTTAAGCCATTTTGGCACAACTTTGGAAGTATGCTCGGGGTCATTGTCCATTTGGAAGACCCATTTGCAACCAAGCCTTAACTTCCTGACTGATGTCTTGAGATGTTGCTTCAATATATCCACATAATTTTCCTTCTTCTATTTTGTGAAGTGCACCAGTCCCTCCTGCAGCAAAGCACCCCCACAGCATGATGCTGCCACCCCTGTGCCTCACGGTTGGGATGGTGTTCTTGGGCTTGCAAGCACCCCCCTTTTTCCTCCAAACATAACGATGGTCATTATGGCCAAACAGTTCTATTTTTGTTTCATCAGACCAGAGGACATTTCTCCAAAAAGTATGATCTTTGTCCCCATGTGCAGTTGCAAACCGTAGTCTGGCTTTTTTATGGTGGTTTTGGAGCAGTGGCTTCTTCCTTGCTGATCGGCCTTTCAGGTTATGTCGATATAGGACTCGTTTTACTGTGGATATAGATACTTTTGTACCTGTTTCCTCCAGCATTTTCACAAGGTCCTTTGCTGTTGTTCTGGGATTGATTTGCACTTTTCGCACCAAAGTACGTTCATCTCTAGGAGACAGAACATGTCTCCTTCCTGAGCGGTATGACGGCTGCGTAATCCCATGGTGTTTATACTTGCGTACTATTGTTTGTACAGATGAACGTGGTACCTTCAGGCGTTTGGAAATTGCTCCCAAGGATGAACCAGACTTGTGGAGGTCTACAATTGTTTTTCTGAGGTCTTGGCTGATTTCTTTTGATTTTCCCATGATGTCAAGCAAAGAGGCACTGAGTTTGAAGGTAGGTCTTGAAATACATCCACAGGTACACCTCCAATTGACTCAAATGATGTCAGTTAGCCTATCAGAAGCTTTTAAAGCCATGACATCATTTTCTGGAATTTTCCAAGCTGTTTAAAAGGCACAGTCAACTTAGTGTATGTAAACTTCTGACCCACTGGAATTGTGATACAGTGAATTATAAGTGAAATAATCTGTCTGTAAACGATGGTTGGAAAAATTACTTGTGTCATGCACAAGGTAGATGTCCTAACCGACTTGCCAAAACTATAGTTTGTTACAAGACATTTGTGGAGTGGTTGAAAAATGAGTTTTAAATGACTCCAACCTAAGTGTATGTAAACTTCCGACTTCAACTGTACCTGTCCTCCAGGAGAATATAGGAAATCAAAGGCCGTAAAGACTTAGGCCTCCATGTGTGCATTTAGATGTGTATCAGGGGTGCAGTGAGGCTAGCAGGATTTAGTGTTGGCTAAGGGGATTTGGTCTGATGGACTTGCTCAAATCAATACAAGAAGAGGTGGAAGAGTTGTATGATTGGAGGTCAAAATTAAGACATAGTCCACTTTTTAGAGTGACAACACATGGTCATATTGCCGCTGCCTCTGCAAAATGCATGCCACGGAAAGTCACAGTTCAAAGTCTCCTATTTGCATCACAAATTAAAATGAAAGCAAACTAATGTAGATATGAGGTATCACATCAGAGGATGTATAACATCACACCACCACTAGAGGTCGCTCACTGACTGATCCAAACACAATGCTTGCCAAATTAACTCAGCTCATCGCTCTACGTTTTGAGGAACATGCAAATCAACTGGGGCCTCAAAGCTCTTCTAATTTTAGCGTTGATACACTACATTACCAAAAGTATGTGGACATCTGCTCGTCAAACATTTCATTCCAAAATCATGGCCATTAATATGGAGTTGGTCCCTCCTTTGCTGCTATAACAGCCTCCACTCTTCTGGGAAGGCTTTCCACTATATGTTGGAACATTGCTGCGGGGACTTGCTTCCATTCAGCCCCAAGAGCATTAGTGAGGTCGGGCACTGATGTTGGGCGATTAGGCCTGGCTCGCAGTCGGCGTTCCAATTCATCCCAAAGGTGTTCGATGGAGTTGAGGTCAGGGCTCTGTGCAGGCCAGTCATGTTCTTCTACACCGATCTCGACAAACCATTTCTGTATGGACCTCGCTTTGTGCATGGGGGTATTGTCATGCTGAAACAGGAAAGGGCCTTCCCCAAACTGTTGCCACAATGTTGGAAGCACAGAATCGTCTAGAATGTCATTGTATGCTGTAGCATTAAGATTTCCCTTCACTGGAACTAAGGGGCCTAGCCCGAACCATGAAAAACAGCCCCAGACCATTATTCCTCCTCCACCAAACTTTACAGTTGGCACTATGCATTGGGGCAGGTAGCGTTCTCCTGGCATCCGGCAAACCCAGATTCATCAGTCGGACTGCAAGATGGTGAAGCGTAATTCATCACTCCAGAGAACACATTTCCGCTGCTTCAGAGTTAAATGGTGGCGAGCTTTACACCACTCCAGCCGACGCTTGGCATTGCCCATGGTGATCTTAGGCTTGTGTGCGGCTGCTCGGCCATGGAAACCCATTTCACAAAGCTCCCGACTAACAGTTATTGTGCTGACGTTGCTTCCAGATGCAGTTTGGAACTCAGTAGTGAGTGTTGCAACCGAGGACAGACGATTTTTACGTGCTACGCACTTCAGCACTTGGCGGTTCCGTTCTGTGAGCTTGTGTGGCCTACCACTTCGCAGCTAAGCCATTGTTGCTCCTAGTTTCTCACAATAACAGCACTTACAGTTGACTGGGGCAACCCTAGCAGGGCAGAAATTTTACGAACTGACTTGTTGGAAAGGTGATATCCTCTGACGGTGCCATGTTGAAAGTCACTGAGCTCTTCAGTAAGGCCATTCTACTGCCAATGTCTGTCTATGGAGATTGCATGGCAGTGTTCAAAATTTTATACCCGTCAGCAACGGGTGTGGCTGAAATAGCCGAATCCACTAATTTGAAGGGGTGTCCACTTACCTTTATATACAGTGGGGGGGAAAAGTATTTAGTCAGCCACCAATTGTGCAAGTTCTCCCACTTAAAAAGATGAGAGAGGCCTGTAATTTTCATCATACTATGACAGACAAAATGAGAAAAAAAAATCCAGAAAATCATATTGTAGGATTTTTTATGAATTTATTTGCAGATTATGGTGGAAAATAAGTATTTGGTCAATAACAAAAGTTTCTCAATACTTTGTTATATACCCTTTGTTGGCAATGACACAGGTCAAACGTTTTCTGTAAGTCTTCACAAGGTTTTCACACACTGTTGCTGGTATTTTGGCCCATTCCTCCATGCAGATCTCCTCTAGAGCAGTGATGTTTTGGGGCTGTCGCTGGGCAACACAGACTTTCAACTACCTCCAAAGATTTTCTATGGGGTTGAGATCTGGAGACTGGCTAGGCCACTCCAGGACCTTGAAATGCTTCTTACGAAGCCACTCCTTCGTTGCCCGGGCGGTGTGTTTGGGATCATTGTCATGCTGAAAGACCCAGCCACGTTTCATCTTCAATGCCCTTGCTGATGGAAGGAGGTTTTCACTCAAAATCTCACGATACATGGCCCGATTCATTCTTTCCTTTACACGGATCAGTCGTCCTGGTCCCTTTGCAGAAAAACAGCCCCAAAGCATGATTTTCCCACCCCCATGCTTCACAGTAGGTATGGTGTTCTTTGGATGCAACTCAGCATTCTTTGTCCTCCAAACACGACGAGTTGAGTTTTTACCAATAAGTTATATTTTGGTTTCATCTGACCATATGACATTCTCCGAATCCTCTTATGGATCATCCAAATGCACTCTAGCAAACTTCAGATGGGCCTGGACATGTACTGGCTTAAGCAGGGGGACACGTCTGGCACTGCAGGATTTGAGTCCCTGGCGGCGTAGTGTGTTACTGATGGTAGGCTTTGTTACTTTGGTCCCAGCTCTCTGCAGGTCATTCACTAGGTCCCCCCATGTGGTTCTGGGATTTTTGCTCACCGTTCTTGTGATCATTTTGACCCCACGGGGGGAGATCTTGCGTGGAGCCCCAAATCGAGGGAGATTATCAGTGGTCTTGTATGTCTTCCATTTCCTAATAATTGCTCCCACAGTTGATTTCTTCAAACCAAGCTGCTTACCTATTGCAGATTCAGTCTTCCCAGCCTGGTGCAGGTCTACACTTTTGTTTCTGGTGTTCTTTGACAGCTCTTTGGTCTTGGCCATAGTGGAGTTTGGAGTGTGACTGTTTGAGGTTGTGGACAGGTGTCTTTTATACTGATAACAAGTTCAAACAGGTGCCATTAATACAGGTAACGAGTTGAGGACAGAGGAGCCTCTTAAAGAAGAAGTTACAGGTCTGTGAGAGCCAGAAATCTTGCTTGTTTGTAGGTGACCAAATACTTATTTTCCACCATAATTTGCAAATAAATTCATTAAAAATCCTACAATGTGATTTTCTGGATTTTATTTTCTCAATTTGTCTGTCATAGTTGACGTGTACCTATGATGAAAATTACAGGCCTCTCTCATCTTTTTAAGTGGGAGAACTTGCACAATTGGTGGCTGACTAAATACTTTTTTCCCCCACTGTATATAGTGTATCAGTGTTTGCTGTTGTGGGGGGGGGGGGGGGGGGGGGTGTCTTTGTCTGTGAATGCGGATCGGGATGGAACCCACAGGGAGGATGGGAGGATGGATGGTAGGCAGGGAGCTGGAACTCTAGCTGACCTGTCAGGGAGCAGCAGGACTCTCCTAGCCTATAATCTGCTGCTGCTGCCGCCAGTTAAAAGGATAAAACCCTGGGTCTGTCAGGAGTTGGTCTGATAACAACACTGTGAACTGGAGAGCTGCTAGTACTACGGTACAAAGAGTGCTAATGAGCCTTCCACACTGAGACTTTCTTATCATCCAGTTTATTGCCCCCCCCCCCCCCCCAACCCCAACATTTGCCCTTTGCCGACCTACACATTCCTCTTTTAATCACATGTCAATCTTACCTCTACAATTAGGTTATACCTGTGTAAGCCTGTGTGAAAATCAATAACAGAGAGAGAGACCGAGAACGAGAACGAGAACGAAAATAGGAAGAGAGAGAGTTGAGGACATACCGGTGGAGAAGCCAGTCTTCTTGTGACACTTGGTGAACTCGATGTTGAAGTAGGTGACCAGGGCATGGATGTAGTCGTTCCTCTGGATCTGAAGGCAGAAGGCTGAGGTGAAGGACAAGTCCTCAGTCTTCACTGTGTAGATGTCCACCTCCTGTTGAAGAGAGAACAACCACACTTCCCTGTTACAACTACAGCTAGCAGTGTTAATGATAATCACATACATAATCCATAGTGATTGGGGTTCTATTCACACCATTCACTGCCAGCACAGTGGTTTCTCCATTGTATATGTACATGTAGGCCTAACTCTTCCTCTGTTGGTGGCCATGAAGCAGCCTGTCATGTGAAGCTGACCAAGTCTTAAGTATTGTAAGGAGCAGGTCCAGGTCTTATATGTGAGTCATATGATCTATGTGGCGGTGCCCCTGGGCATTGTGTCCTGTATTATCCCTGAGCCTCTTGTTCTCTCTGTCAGGGCTGAAGCCTCTGCTCTCTGCTACTCTGCTCCAACCTCTCCCTTTGGGTTCAAGGGCCACGGAGCTGAAACCAAACCCCACTAACTCCCCCTCCCCCCAAGAGGGACCAGCCCATAAACCCCCTCCCCCCAAGAGGGACCAGCCCAGAAACCCCCACTAAAGGTGGATGAACAAGGAGAAGATGGGGTCATTTGGCTGGAGAACCAAGGCAGTAACTATTGCCAGGATTGTATTGTGCTGACGTCCTGCTCCTTTATAGACATCCCCTGATTCATATCCCATATTTTAAAAGGGTATCTAATGCCTTGTGATTCTGCAGTGGGAGAGGAGAGATAGAGAGGTGAGCATATGGTGGTGAAACACAGCGTTCTGCTCCGGTGAGGCCCACATTTAATCTTTCACGCTCAAATGTCAGCACAACAGCGGTTCCCAAATCACGTTAGCGTTTAATTACAGAGCAATCAGGAGCATCCTCCCATTCGAATCCATTGCTGCTAGGTAGACAGACAGATGGTTTAGAGCTCAGATAATGTGTTGTTATGCAGTCCCCTATAATGCATTCACCACGGGGGGCCACTGGCTCTGTTTCCAAAGTGCCACATTTGCAGTGGAAAAATATGATTTTTATGCATCGGGCGATCAGCAGTTAAACCAGCATAATTCAAAAGTCAACCTCCCCTGCTATCTTTCTCAAACAACTCCCAGGTTTCGTAAGAGTAACAACTGTTTATTTTGGTTATGTGCTACAAACTCCTTAAAGTCATATTTCATAGTGCAGGACAACAATTCATCTTCGGCTCTCGCTCACTCACAGTAAAGGAAACGTTTTGAACATGAGGAACTTCTTTGATCCCTTTAACAGCCTAAGCTCTTTTGCGCACTGTCTGTGTAAAATATTAATTATATGATTCATTCTGTAATCCATTCAGAGACATGCAACAAGCTTGTCAGTGGCTTGTCATTTTCCGGGTTGTCAGGTTTTATCTTACCAGGCGTGAGTGCAACAAGGCGCCAGTATCAAAATCTTCAAGATAAAACACTGACTTTTCAAAGATTATTTCCCTGCTTGTTATTATTACAGACAAAAGGCTTTAGAAAGAAACAATGGAAAGACATGCTAGTTATCTAACACCTGCACTTAGTAACGGCCAGAACAATCCAAATCAATAATCTAGATAAACAAGACAATCAGACAATCAGCAGTCTAGACATGTGAATTGACATGCATGGCACAATCTGTAGCTAGTAGTGAAGGACAGAGACAGCATGGCCAGAAGGCTGGAATTGGAGGATCACATTAGGGTGACATATTGTCCATTTCCAGCTGAGGACATACGCCACTAGATTGTGATTGGTATGTGGATGATTTACAGTCCCTTTACTGTCACGTATGGCCTCTTTCCTGATTTTGAATTAGGTTAAATAGTTTAAAAAGTCTTGATTCCTAGTGTTTTCCACAATGCCAAGTTACGTTGAGGCGTGTGGATGAGAAGTACACACCTCAGCAGTCCAAAACCTGTAGCTTAGCAGCTATGTTCCCCATTTGAATTAACATATCAAGATAATATAATCTGGTGACTCATTATAATAATAACAGTAACACCGGTTATGTAAATCCCACACTGCATGAGCGTAGAGTTTATTATTTTTTAACTTTATTAATTTGATCATTTAAGAAAACAAGCACACATAAAACTTGAAAAAGACATACATGCACATGAGTAAAATCATGGAGGATAACACACAATAAAGGGACTTATTTCCATTGTGGTCCTCTTGAGACATGGTTTACATTTACATTTACGTCATTTAGCAGACGCTCTTATCCAGAGCGACTTACAGGAGCAATTAGGGTTAAGTGCCTTGCTTAAGGGCACATCGACAGATTTTTCACCTAGTCGGCTCGGGGATTAGAACCAGCGACCTTTCGGTTACTGGCACAACGCTCTTACCCACTAAGCTACCTGCCGCAGTATGACAACTAGATAATAAAACATAAAAACAAAGAAGAAGAACATCTATCTCATCATTGCAGTTACATCGTAGGGTACATTCATATGGGCACTGAAGACATCCGTTTTTTACTTTATTTTTAAAGCTGCCCAGAGAGGACGTCGGTTTTTGGGGCAGAGACAATGCTGAGTCAATGGTTTGGGATTCAACTGTGGGCTTTCACACTGCTTGTTCTCCACAAATACTCAATAACTACCCACATATACAGTCATACACAGAGACATGCAATAGTCCTACACATGCATGCACACACAAAGACGCACGCACGCATGCACGCACGCACGCACGCACACACACACACGTGAAGTGAAGACAAAGCAGACCTTGATCAGGAAGGAGTTGGTGACCATCTGTTTGGAGTCAACTATGTCCACCAGGGGCTCCTTCATTGCCACGTTACGGATACAGGTCATGTCAAAGCCATACACGTTCTCCCACCCTGTGGACGCACAGTGCATTATGGAACACCTTTGTGGAAGAAGGGCAATTAAATAAATCAGCCTTAGAGAAGGAGGAATTCATTGTGTTTGTCCAAAATGGCACCCTACTCCCTATGTAGTTGACCAGGGCCCAAGATATCTGGTCAAAAGTAGTGGCCTAAATAGGGAATTGGGGGCCATTTCAGACGCAGTGTCGGCTAACCATCACTGTTAGTCGAGTAAACAGAGAGAGTGCCTAATCTCTTCTCTCCTCAGGCTAACTGATCATGTATTATGCATGGCTACAGTCCTTAATATCGTGTGTTTAAGATCCAGTCCATTTAAAAGACTGGAGGCCTCTTACACTTCAATGTTGTGACGCAAAAATCCTGGCAAAATGCATAGCACATAGAATAAAAAAGATTTTACCAGATTGTTCATCCTGATCAGACAGGTTTTTTACAAGGATGATATATTGGAGATAATATACAACAATTACTTGAAACAGTTGAACACTATGAAACGTCAAAGACACCAGGCCTGGTCTTCATAGCAGATTTTGAAAAGGCGTTTGATAAAGTACGACTAGAATTTATATATAAATGCCTGGACTACTTTAATTTCAGTGAATCTCTTATACAATGGGTTAAAAGTTATGTAAAGCAACCCCAGGTGTAAAATAGTAAATAATGGTTACTTCTCAGAAAGTATTGAGCTGTTAAGAAGAGTAAAACAAGTCTGTCTGTTGTCTCCATATCTATTTATTATGGCCATCGAAATGCTAGCTATTAAAATCAGATCCAACAAGAACATCAAGGGGTTAGAAATCCAGGGGTTAAAAACAAAAGTGTCAATGTATTGCGATGACTCAGTCTGCAATCTGGATCCCAGCACAGTCTCATTGAAGATCTTGATCACTGTTCTAGCCTCTCTAAAACCTAATTATGATAACGAGGTATATAGCCTGGTTATTGTTATTTCATTGTGTTACTTTTTATTATTTTTTACCTTAGTTTATTTAGTAAATATTTTCTTAACTCTTTCTTGAATTGCATTGTTGGTTAAGGGCTTGTAAGTAAGCATTTCACGGTAAGGTCTACAGCGGTTGTATTCGGCGAATGTGACTAATAACATTTGATTTGTACCATATTACGTGTTGGATCGTTAAAAGACAATGTTTACACTACCTTGTAGTTTACCAATAAAATGGGTGGATGGTGAAGTAGACATACTTGGTATTCATATCTCAAAAAATATAAATTAACTTACCACAATCAATTTTAATAGAAAGTTTGCAAAAATAGATAAGATTAAATCATCATTGGTCCAATCACAGCTTACTTACTTACTAATGGCGCTGCCTACTCCAGATGACTCGTTTTGTAAATCATAAGAGCAAAAACATATTTTACTTTATTTGAAATGCTAAGCCAGACAAAATTAAACGTGCCTATTTATATAATGAATAGGAGTTTGGGAGGCTAAAATTATTAAATATTAAAGCATTAAACCTCTCACTAAAAGCTTCACTCATACATAAGTTATACTTAAACCCGAACTGGTTCTCCAATAGATTATTAAGAAAGGCTCATCATTTGTTCAAAGATTGCCTTTTTGCCTTTATACAGTGCATTCGGAAAGTATTCAGACCCCTTGACTTTTTCCACATTTTGTTACATTACAGCCTTATTCCAAAATGGATTAAATAAAACAATTTCCTCATCAATCTACACACCCATAATGTCAAAGCGAAAACAGGTTATAATGTTTTACTAATTTATTCAAAATAAAAACAGAAATACCTTATTTACATAAGTATTCAGACCCTTTGTTATGAGACTCGAAATTGAGCTCAGGTGCATCCTGTTTCCATTGATAATTCTTGAGATGTTTCTACAGCGTCATTGGAGTCCATATGTGGTCAATTCAATTGATTGGACATGATTTGGAAAGGCACACACCTGTCTATATAAGGTCCCACTGTTGACAGTGCATGTCAGAGTTAAAACCAAGCCATGAGGTCGAAGGAATTGTCCGTACAGCTCAGAGACAGGATTGTGTCGAGACATAGATCTGGGGAAGGGTACCAAAACATTTCTGCAGCATTGAAGGTCCCCAAGAACACAGTGGCCTCCGTTATTTTTCAACAGAAAACGTTTGGAACCACCAAGACTCTTCCTAGAGCTGCCGCCCGGCCAAACTGAGCAATGGGGGGAGAAGGGTTCCTCTGTGGAGATGGGAGAACCTTCCAGAAGGACAACCATCTCTGCAGCACTCCACCAATCAGGCCTTCATGGTAGAGTGGCCAGACGGAAGCCACTCTTCAGTAAAAGGCACATGACAGCCCACTTGGAGTTTGCCAAAAGGCACCTAAAGGACTCTCAGACCATGACAAACAAGAGTCTCTGGTCTGATGAAACCAAGATTGAACTCTTTGGCCTGAATGCCAAGCGTCACGTCTGGAGGAAACCTGGCACCATCCCTACGGTGAAGCATTGTGGTGGCAGCATCATGCTGTGGGTATGTTTTTCATCCGCAGGGACTGGGAGACTAGTCAGGATCGAGGGAAAGATGAACGGAGCAAAGTACAGAGAGATCCTTGATGAAAACCTGCTCCAGAGCACTCAGGACCTCAGACTGAGGCGAAGGTTCACCTTCCAACAGGACAACCCCCCTAAGCACACAGCCAAGACAATGGAGAAGTGGCTTCGGGACAAGTCTCTGAATGTCCTTGAGTGGCCCAGCCAGAGCCCGGACTTGAACCCGATCGAACATCTCTGGAGAGAACTGAAAATAGCTGTGCACCCCATCCAACCTGACAGAGCTTGAGAGGATCTGCAGAGAAGAATGGGAGAAACTCCTCATATACAGGTGTGCCAAGCTTGTAGCATCATACCCAAGAAGACTCGAGACTGTAATCGCTGCCAAAGGTGCTTCAACAAAGTACTGAGTAAAGGGTTTGAATACTTATGTAAATGTTATATTTCAGTTTTCTTTTTGTTATACATTTGCAAACATTTCAAAAAACCAGTTTTTGCTTAGTCATTATGGGGTATTGATGAGGGTAAACTGTAACGTAAAAAGTCAAGGGGTCTGAATACTTTCCGAATGCCCTGTACATACATTTTACATATCACACTTTACATATACATTTTATACATACATTTTACATACATGGTACTTATACACACAGCAATCACATAACAATAATACATTACTGAACAAAAGCTCTTAATCTCACCCCTCAGCCACTCTCAGCCCATCCCACCTATCACCGTTGACCACCCTCGCTTGGTTTCCATGCGCCATGTATTTTTCAATTGTGCTGTTTTACATTATTTTTGAACCTTTATAATCGCATAGTATCCACAGATCGTGAGTTAATGATGAAAACCTTATCTACAAGTATTATTATATTATTGGTTGATTAACTATGGCTTTCCAAATCGCCTAACACTGCTATCTGTAAGGTTAATTTTAAGTCAATGTTGTGATTTTTTTACCGTTACTGAACCTGTGACCAGAAACAAACTACATAGGAGCAATACCAAAATAAATGATCTAGTGATTCTGTCTCTTCACAGCAAAATCTACAGAGCTGAGATTGTTGTATGCCCCATATATATAGCATTCTGTTGATGGCAACAATTTTGTATAATAATTAAAATTGAAAAAACTCAAGTGTTGAATCAAGTGTTGTTTTTCGTATCAGTTCATATACCATATGCTATGGAATCAGTATATCTAAAATCTCTTCCCATTTCTTTTGCAACCTGTATGGCGCAGCTGTAAAAAAAAAAAAAAAAAAATCCTCAAATGAAACTGGTATGTTTTTCTATTTATGCCAATCCTTTTCAGCAAAGTCGTATCTTTAATATATGGCAGACAAACAAGTTCTCTACCTTCTCCCCCTTCCACGTGCCTCCTTCATTTTTGCAGTAATGCTGCAATCAGTTGGTTGTAACTTTGGATTGAGCATTCCCATATATTTTCGATAGCTGCATATGTGACATAACTCCACCATTTCTATTCAAAATAGAATTAATAAATATAATACTTAAACATTTTTTCCCATGAATAACATTTTTTTTATCAATATATTTTAGTTTAACCATAATATTTCTTATAATATTTGTTCTATCTTTTCTGGAGGATAAAATGGAAATTGTAACCAGCTTTGTATGGCTTGTTTAAGAAAGGGTGATACTTTAAACTAAGTTTCATTTTCAATTTGTTAGAAATTGTAATATGTACAGTGCATTCGGAAAGTATTCAGACCCCTTAACTTTTTCCACTTTGTTACGTTATAGCCTTATTCTAAAATTGATTTAAACAATTCCCCCCTCATCAATCTACACACAATACCCTATAATGACAAAGCAAAATCAGGTTTTTAAACATTTTTGCAAATCTATTCAAAATAAAAAACGGAAATATTACATTTACATAAGTATTCAGACCTTTTACTCAGTACTTTGTTGAAGCACCTTTGGCAGCGATTACAGCCTTGAGTCTTCTTGGGTATGACGCTACAAGCTTGGTACACCTGTATTTGGGGAGTTTCTCCCATTCTTCTCTTTAGATCCTCTCAAGCTCTGTCAGGTTAGATAGGGAGCATCGCTGCACAGCTTTTTCAGTTCTCTCCAGAGATGTTCGATCGGGTTCAAGTCCGGGCTCTGGCTGGGCCACTCAAGGACATTCAGAGACTTGTCCCGAAGCCACTCCTCCATTGTCTTGGCTGTGGGCTTAGGGGGGTTGTCCTGTTGGAAGGTGAACCGTCGCCCCTGTCTGAGGTCCTGAGCGCTCTGGAGCAGATTTTCATCAAGGATCTCTCTGTACTTCGCTCCGTTCATCTTTCCCTCGATCCTGACTAGTCTCCCAGTCCCTGCCGCTGAAAAACATTCCCAAAGCATGATGCTGCCACCACCATGCTTTACCATAGGGATGGTATTGGCCAGGTGATGAGCGGTGCCTGGTTTCCTTCAGAAGAGACGCTTGGCATTCAGGCCAAAGAGTTCAATCTTGATTTCATCAGACCAGAGAATCTTGGTCTGAGAGTCCTTTAGGTGCCTTTTGGCAAACTCCAAGCACGCTGTCATGTGCCTTTTACTGAGGAGTGGCTTCTGTCTGGCCACTCTACCATAAAGGCCTGATTGGTGGAGTGCTGCAGAGATGGTTGTCCTTCTGGAAGGTTCTCCCATCTCCACAGAGGAACTCAGTCAGACTGGCCATCGGGTTCTTGGGGACCTTCAGTGGTGCAGACTTTTTTTAGTACCCTTCCCCAGATCTGTGCCTCGACACAATCCTGTCTCGGAGCTCTACGGACAATTCCATCGACCTCATGGCTTGGTTTTTGCTCTGACATGCACTGTCAACTGTGAGATCTTATATCGGACAGGTGTGTGCCTTTCCAAATCATGCCCAATCAATTACATTTACCACAAGTGGACTCCAAGTTGTAGAAACATCACAAGGATGATCAATGTTAACAGGATGCACCTGAGCTCAATTTCAAATCTCATTGTAAAGGGTCTGAATCCTTACGTAAATAAGGTATCTGTTGTTGTTTTATAAAATAAATTTTGCAAAGTTTTCTAAAAACCTGTTCTCGCTTTGTCATTATGGGGTATTGTGTGTAGATTGATGAGGATTTTTATTTATTTAATCCATTTTAGCATAAGGCTGTAACGTAACAAAATGTGGAAAAAGTCAAGGGGTCTGAATACTTTCAGAATGCACTGTATACGTAGCAAAAAAGCAGTAAAAAGAAAATAAGATATTTGTGTCCTCCAAAGAGGGGTCGTATTCATTAGGGCATGTGTTAATATTTTTTTAAATAATAATTTTAAAAAAGATAGCGTGTGTGTAAGCGTCTTTATGTGTCCTTTTAAAGTGGAACCACTTAAGTGTGACAACAGGATGAGGAGGGAATAATGAGCAGGTCGCACCTCAGCTGTGCATCATTAGGCCATAAAACTGAAGTAGTTAAGTCCTGGTTAGTATTCCAGCAAATGTAAGAACATGGACTGAAACAGGGAGGGACTATCTGACTTTGTCCAATAACAAATGCTAATTTCCATTTTCAGTTTCAAAATGTTTTGCTATGATATGCCCTAATGAATACGACCCTGTTTTCATAATGACATAACATAATTTTATAGCACTAAGTGATCAGGCATGCCATCCTTTCCCAAAAGACATCAACAGCCATCTGTCTGTTGGAACCAGAATGGGCCAAATATGGACACTGTCCCCCACTCATCCTCTACCTCTGCTTTCACCAAAACCTCTCACTGCACACGGCTGAGAAAGAGAAACAGCACTGGCTGGACGACTACTCAGCACTCAGTCATGTGGTCTGGGTTTCTGGAAGCCTAAGGAGCTCGCTGTCTCAGAGTATTGTGTTGGTGTGTAATTCCCTAATGGTGGTGTATGTGTGTGTGTATGTACAGTTGAAGTCGGAAGTTTACATACACCTTAGCCAAATACATTTAAACTCAGTTTTTCACAATTCCTGACATTTAATCCTAGTAAGAAATCCCTGTCTTAGGTCAGTTAGGATCACCACTTTATTTTAAGATTGTGATAGGTCAAAATAATAGTAGAGCGAATGATTTATTTCAGCTTTTATTTATTTCATCACATTCCCAGTGAGTCAGAAGTTTACGCACATTCAATTAGTATTTGGTAGCATTGCCATTAAATTGTTTAACTTGGGTCAAACGGTTCGGGTAGCCTTCCATAAGCTTCCCACAATAAGTTGGGTGAATTTTGGCCCATTCCTCCTGACAGAGCTGGTGTAACTGAGTCAGGTTTGTAGGCCTCCTTGCTCGCACACGCTTTTCAGTTCTGCCCACAAATTCTCTATAGGATTGAGGTCAGGGCTTTGTGATGGCCACTCCAATACCTTGACTTTGTTGTCCTTAAGCCATTTTGCCACAACTTTGGAAGTATGCTTGGGGTCATTGTCCATTTGGAAGACCCATTTGTGACCAAGCTTTAACTTCCTGACTGATGTCTTGAGATGTTGCTTCAATATATATATATATCCACATAATTTTCCTTCCTCATGATGCCATCCATTTTGTGAAGTTGCAAACCGTAGTCTGGCTTTTTTATGGCGGTTTTGGAGCAGTGGCTTCTTCCTTGCTTAGCGGCCTTTCAGGTTATGTTGATATAGGACTCGTTTTACAGTGGATATAGATACCTTTGTACCTGTTTCCTCCAGCATCTTCACAAGGTCCTTTGCTGTTGTTCTGGGATTGATTTGCACTTTTCGCACTAAAGTACGGTCATCTCTAGGAGACAGAACACGTCTCCTTTCTGAGCGGTATGACGGCTGCGTGGTCCCATGGTGTTTATACTTGCGTACTATTGTTTGTACAGATGAACGTGGTACCTTCAGGCATTTGGAAATTGCTCCCAAGGATGAACCAGACTTGTGGAGGTATACAATTGTTTTTCTGAGCTCTTGGCTGATTTCTATTGATTATCCCATGATGTCATGCAAAGAGGCACTGAGTTTGAAGGTAGGCCTTGAAATACATCCACAGGTACACATCCAATTGACTCAAATTATGTCAATTAACCTATCAGAAGCTTCTAAAGCCAATTTTCCAAGCTGTTTAAAGGCACAGTCAACTTAGTGTATGTAAACTTCTGACCCACTGGAATTGTGATACAGTGAATTATAAGTGAAATAATCTGTCTGTAAACAATTGTTGGAAAAATGACTTGTGTCATGCACAAAGTACATGTCCTAACCAACTTGCCAAAACTATAGTTTGTTAACAAGAAACTTGTGGAGTGGTTGAAAAACGAGTTTTAAATGACTCCAACCTAAGTGTATGTAAACTTCCAACTTCAATTGTATGTATGTGGAGTGGGTGTGTGTGGTGGTATCGGCCATTGTTCTGCTTCATGTCCTCTGTTTTTCTGTCATGGCTCTGGGCTGAGATGAAGAATGAACAATTCCACCAAATCCTCCATGAGAGCTTTAGTGTGGGCTAGCACTCAGATGGAGAGGCTTGTTGACTTGTAATATTGTATCGATCATCACTTATGCCTTTGAAAAGTTCAAATGTATGACCAACACTAATGTGTGTGCGTGCGTGCATGCTGTGTGTGTGTGTGTGTGTGTGTGTGTGTGTGTGTCTGTCTGTCTGTGTCCAGTATATTGTGTATGTTTAAGTGTGTTTGCCGTGTGTATGTTTAAGTGTGTGTCTTTTCTGTGTGTGCTGCTGTGGTTGTTCTACATTCACAGTTCATTAGCAAAGCAGAAATATAAGCCAGTTAAGACCCACCCTGGGAATAGAGAGCCAGTCAGGGGCAGCGGGACTTGTGTGAGGGCACAGGGTCAAGTAAACACACACTCACAATGGATTTTGAAGTCCTTGTACTGCCTGTCCTCGATGGCCACCACATACAGTGCAGCACGGTCTGGAAACATCAGACCGCCGGGTTTCTGTTTAAAATTTGGGGAGAAAAAAAGAACCTGCAATCAATCCTGCACACAAAGACATCTCATTTCTCAGCTGTGCTGCATGTGAGAAGAACCAAACACAAGGCCAGGTTATGGTTTTTATCCCTGGGTAAGTCAGTGAGGTTAGAGCATTGTTCATGCTGCTAGCATGTCTGGTCAGTGCATGCACACACACACACACACGCACGCACGCACGCACACACGCACACACGCACACACGCACACACGCACACACACCTACCAGCCACTTGTCCCTTGCAAAGATGACGGTATTGAGCATGGACTCGTAGAAGAGACAGTAGCCCATCCACTCTGAGATGATGATGTCAACCTTCTCCACTGGCAGCTCCACTTCCTCCACCTTGCCCCTGAAGATGGTGATAACTGCAAGACATACCATTACAAACCATTAAAATGGAGCAAATCACATTAGGTCTCTGTGAAGATAACATAGGAGCAGTGGTGTAAAGTACTTAAGTAAAAATACTTTAAAGTTCTATTAAGTCGTTTTTGGGGGTAACTGTACTTTACTTTACTATTTATATATTTGACAACTTTTACTTTTACTTAACTACATTCCTAAAGAAAATTTACTTTTTACTCCATATATTTTCCCTGACACCCAAAAGTACTCGTTACATTTTGAATGCTTAGCAGGACAGGAAAATGGTCCAATTCACACACTTATCAAGAGAACATCCCTGGTCATCTCTACTGCCTCTGATCTGGAGGACTCACTAAACACAAATGCTTCGTTTGTAAATTATGTCTGAGTGTTGGAGTGTCCCCCTGGCTATCCGTAACCAAGAAAATGGTGCCATCTGGTTTGCTTAATATAAGGAATTTTAAATAATTTATACTTTTACTTTCGATACTTAAGTATATTTAACAATTACATTTACTTTTGATACTTAAGTATATTTAAAACCAAACACTTTTAGACTTTTACTCAAGTAGTATTTTACTGGGTGACTTTCACTTTTACTTGACTCATTTTCTATAAAGGTATCTTTACTTTTACTCAAGTATGACAATTGTGTACTTTTTCCACCACTGCATAGAAGGTCATCACAAAACATAACATTATCACTTAAGCTCTGCTTCTAATAACACAATACTTATTTACATAAGTATTCAGACCCTGTGCTATGAGACTCGAAATTGAGCTCAGGTGCATCCTGTTTCCATTGTTCATCCTTCAGATGTTTCTACAACTTGATTGGAGTACACCGGTGGTAAATGTAATTGATTGGACATGATTTGGAAAGGCACACATCTGTCTATATAAGGTCCCACAGTTTACAGTACATGTCAGAGCAAAAACCAAGCCATGAGGTTGAAAAAATTGTCTGTAGACCTCCGACAGGATTGTGTCGAGGCACAGATCTGGGGAAGGGTACCAAAAACATGTCTGCAGCATTGAAGGTCCCCAAGAACACAGTGGCCTCCATCATTCTTAAATGGAAGAAGTTTGGAATCACCAAGACTCTTCCTAGAGCTGGCCGCCCGGCCAAACTGAGCAATCGGGGGAGAAGGGCCTTGGTCAGGGAGGTGACCAAGAACCCGATGGTCACTCTGACAGAGCTCTACAGTTCCTCTGTGGAGATGGGAGAACCTTCCAGAAGGACAACTATCTCTGCAGCACTCCACCAATCAGGCCTTTACGGTAGAGTGGCCAGATGGAAGCCACTCCTCAGTAAAAGGCACATGACAACCCACTTGGAGTTTGCCAAAAGGCACCTAAAGGAGTCTCAGACCATGAGAAACAAGATTCTCTGGTCTGATGAAACCAACATTGAACTCTTTGGCCTGAATGCCAAGCGTCACGTCTGGAGGAAATCTGGCACCATCCCTATGGTGAAGCATGGTGGTGGCAGTATCATGCTGTGGGGATGATTATCAGCGGCAGGGACTGGGAGACTAGTCAGGATCGAGGCAAAGATGAATGGAGCAAAGTACAGAGAGATCCTTCATGAAAATCTGCTCCAGGGCGGTCAGGACCTCAGACTGGGGCGAAGGTTCACTTTCCGACAGGACAACGACCCGCAGGAGTGGCTTCGGGACATGTCTCTGAATGTCCATGAGTGGCCCAGCCAGAGCCCGGACTTGAACCCGATCTAACATCTCTGGAGAGACCTGAAAACTGCTGTGCAGCAATGCTCCCCATCCAACCTGACAAGAGCTTGAGAGGATCTGCAGAGAGGAATGGGAGAAACTCCCCAAATACAGTGAGGGAAAAAAGTATTTGATCCCCTGCTGATTTTGTACGTTTGCCCACTGACAAAGAAATTATCAGTCTATAATTTTAATGGTAGGTTTATTTGAACAGTGAGAGACAGAATAACAACAAAAAAATCCAGACAAACGCATGTCAAAAATGTTATAAATTGATTTGCATTTTAATGAGGGAAATAAGTATTTGACCCCCTCTCAATCAGAAAGATTTCTGGCTCCCAGGTGTCTTTTATACAGGTAACGAGCTGAGATTAGGAGCACAATCTTAAAAGGGAGTGCTCCTAATCTCAGCTTGTTACCTGTATAAAAGACACCTGTCCACAGAAGCAATCAATCAATCAGATTCCAAACTCTCCACCATGGCCAAGACCAAAGAGCTCTCCAAGGATGTCAGGGACAAGATTGTAGACCTACACAAGGCTGGAATGGGCTACAAGACCATCGCCAAGCAGCTTGGTGAGAAGGTGACAACAGTTGGTGCGATTATTCGCAAATGGAAGAAACACAAAATAACTGTCAATCTCCCTCGGCCTGGGGCTCCATGCAAGATCTCACCTCGTGGAGTTGCAATGATCGTGAGAACGGTGAGGAATCGGCCCAGAACTACACGGGAGGATCTTGTCAATGATCTCATGGCAGCTGGGACCATAGTCACCAAGAAAACAATTGGTAACACATTACGCCGTGAAGGACTGAAATCCTGCAGCGCCCGCAAGGTCCCCCTGCTCAAGAAAGCACATATACATGCCCGTCTGAAGTTTGCCAATGAACATCTGAATGATTCAGAGGAGAACTGGGTGAAAGTGTTGTGGTCAGATGAGACCAAAATGGAGCTCTTTGGCATCAACTCAACAATTTGTGTAAAGGAGGGGGGGGGATGGGCAAGTTGCAGCGGAGGGTGCAGAGCTGGTGGCTGGGGTAGTGGTAGCCAGGTGGAAAGCATGGCCAGCCATAGCAAAATGGCTGGCCATGGCTTGATTTATCGGTGGTGACAGTGTTTCCTAGCCTCAGTGCAGTGGGTAGTTGGGAGGAGGTGCTCTTATTCTCCATGGACTTTACAGTGTCCCAAAACCTTTTGGAGTTAGTGCTACAGGATGCACATTTCTGTATGAAAAAGCTAGCCTTTGCTTTCCTAACTGATTGTGTATATTGGTTCCTGACTTCCCTGAAAAGTTGCATATCGCGGGGGCTGTTCGATGCTAATGCAGTACGCCACAGGATGTTTTTGTGCTGGTCAAGGGCAGTCAAGTCTGAGGAGAAAGGGGCTATATCTGTTCTTAGTTCTGAATTTTTTGAATGGGGCATGCTTATTTAAGATGGAGAGGAAAGCACTTTTAAAGAACAACCAGGCATCCTCTACTGACGGAATGAGGTCAATATCCATCCAGGATACCCGGCCCAGGTCAATTAGAAAGGCCTGCTCGCTAAAGTGTTTTAGGGAGCGTTTGACAGTGATGAGGGGTGGTCGTTTGACCGCGGACCCATTACGGACGCAGGCAATAAGGCAGTGATCGCTGAGATCCTGGTTGAAGACAGCAGAGGTGTATTTAGAGGGTAAATTAGTCAGGATGATATCTATGAGGGTGCCCATGTTTACAGATTTTGGGTTGTACCTGGTAGGTTCGTTGATCATTTGTGTGAGATTGAGGGCATCTAGTTTAGATTGTAGTTCTCCTCTGAATCATTCAGATGTTCATTGGCAAACTTCAGACGGCCCTGTATATGTGCTTTCTTGAGCATGGGGACCTTGCGGGCGCTGCAGGATTTCAGTCCTTCACGGCGTAATGTGTTACCAATTGTTTTCTTGGTGACTATGGTCCCAGCTGCCATGAGATCATTGACAAGATCCTCCCGTGTAGTTCTGGGCCGATTCCTCACCGTTCTCACGATCATTGCAACTCCACGAGGTGAGATCTTGCATGGAGCCCCAGGCCGAGGGAGATTGACAGGTCTTTTGTGTTTCTTCCATTTGCAAATAATCGCACCAACTGTTGTCACCTTCTCACCAACCTGCTTGGCGATGGTCTTGTAGCCCATTCCAGCCTTGTGTAGGTCTACAATCTTGTCCCTGACATCCTTGGAGAGCTCTTTGGTCTTGGCCATGGTGGAGAGTTTGGAATCTGATTGATTGATTGCTTCTGTGAACAGGTGTCTTTTATACAGGTAACAAACTGAGATTAGGAGCACTCCCTTTAAGAGTGTGCTCCTAATCTCAGCTCGTTACCTGTATAAAAGACACCTGGGAGCCAGAAATCTTTCTGATTGAGAGGGGGTCAAATACTTATTTCCCTCATTAAAATGCAAATCAATTTATAACATTTTTGACATGCGTTTTTCTGGATTTATTTGTCGTTATTTTGTCTCTCACTGTTCAAATAAACCTACCATTAAAATTATAGACTGATCATGTCTGTCAGTGTGTTTTAAATCAACGATTTCCTGACCATCCTCAACATAGACTGTAAAAAGATTTATCACGCACTGTTGTACCGACGACAATAATCTAGTGAGCACTATTGGAGCTCCGACCAAGCAAGGCATTTGATTGGTTTGACATGTAGCAAGGCGTCACTGATTTACACCGGGTCTCCACCCCTATTTAGCAATTTTTCTGCCATAAACTTCCCAGGCTTACCCGTATTAGGGAAGCCTGGTTCTTGAAGAGGTTAGCTTAGTAGAAACCCAGCCCCGGGCCCTTACACTCTAGGGGGATACAATACACACTTCTTTAGTAAAATACTGCCATCGTTGTCGAGGCACAGGACATGTTTGTGTAGCCCATGTATCTGATACTGTCTGGACCAAAGGATTATGGCATGTCATATTCTTTTTAGGCCAGACAGCATCAGATACAGGGGCTACATATAGTAAGACAGAGGGGGCTGTTTCGCTCGCTCGGATGCTTTATCCATTGAGATAGTTTCAGCCACTTGCGAATTGAAAGAAAGTTGGCGGGGGTGCACAGTGCACTGTTATTTTGGATGAAGGTGCAAAGGTAACCTACTTTTTGAACTGATTTGTTTGATAAGTCACTAAATCCACCCCTGCAAAAGGCCCTGTGCATGGTGTGACTCCCCCTTACACAGAGAAAAACCTGTGTTGCGTGTTGTTCCAAACTTATCGCACCAGTTGACAAACAACAAAAGCACCATCTGGCTTCCTTCA